AGGTAAGGAGTAGGACAGAGGGGTGGTGTCTAGTGGGTAATGGTTATCAGCTAACCCCAGGCTCCTGCTTATACCTGGCTCAGGACAGTAACCTCGGAGTGCTTTTTATCCAGGACCTGCAGAAGCTGCCATGGGAAAGCATGCCCAGCCTCCGTGTACTGCCTGTAACCCGGCTGCCTTCCTTCCGCTTCCTGCTCAGCTACTCCATCATCAAAGAGGTGGGGTTTGGAGGGTAGGGGTCTGGGGACGATTGGCAGAAAGAGCAAAGAGTCTTAGTAATGGATCAAACAGGAAGAAGGGCTTACAGTTTACTGGAGGTCAGGTCTTCTGCTGAAACCAGGGTCCTAATCACCAGTATCTTTTCCTTAGGGTGGGGCTTCGGCAGTGCTGAGCCAAGGGGTGGATCCTCGAAGTACCTTCTATGTCCTGAACCCTCACAATAACCTGTCAAGCACAGAGGAGCAATTTCGAGCCAATTTTAGCAGGTCAGGGGGGTGAAGGCAAAGGGCGTATGGGGAATGGTAGAGATTAAATACAGGGACAAAGTGCCTTTTCTCCAGAATCGGTGGTTGCGGCCCACCTTCTGTCTACTGTTTCTCTGTTTGCCACATGACCCCTGCTGTATAGTTCCCTATTCTTACTCCTACTTTTTCCTTTCAGGGAAGCTGGCTGGAGAGGGGTGGTCGGGGAAGTGCCAAGCCCTGAACAAGTGCAAGCAGCCCTGACAGAGCATGACTTATATATGTGAGTGCTTAGGACATGGAGGTGGAGAGGGGCAGTCCCAAGGATAGTATCACCATGGGTTGCTTTGTTCCTTTCTTTTTTTTTTTTTTTTTTTTTAAAGAGAAAGTGAGAGACAGAGAGAGATTTATTTTTTTAGTTTTTTTTTTTTTTTTGGTGGACACAACATCTTTGTTTGTACGTGGTGCTGAGGATTGAACCCGGGCCACACACATGCCAGGCAAACGTGCTACCGCTTGAGCCACATCCCCAGCCCTGCTTTGTTCCTTTAGAGCCTCTGGAACCATAGGCAAAAGCCTGTAGGTCAATACTTACCTCACTTCCTTTCTGCCGTAGCTATGCAGGGCATGGAGCTGGTGCCCGCTTCCTTGATGGGCAGGCCGTCCTGCGGCTGAACTGCCGGGCAGTGGCTCTGCTATTTGGCTGCAGCAGTGCAGCCTTGGCTGTTCATGGAAACCTGGAGGGAGCTGGCATTGTGCTCAAGTACATCATGTCTGGCTGGTGAGGCTCCAGGGGTGAAACCTGTCCCAAGGCATTAAGACTCCTGCCCCCCACCCAGGTTCTTTCCCACTGAATCCCTCTGCTTTTATGCCCCACCTGCCTACCAACCTATTTCCCTGGCATGTCTTAGCCCTCTTCTATCCTTCTAGAATGATGGGCCAAGGAGCTCTTCATTGGCACAATCTCTTTCTCTGCACCCATCACCATCAATCATACTTCCAAGTATATTCTGTTATAGAACCTTTACTTTGTATTATTTCTTCTCTTTTCCCAGCCCATTATATCTAGGTAATCTCTGGGATGTGACTGACCGAGACATTGACCGCTACACAGAGGCTCTGTTACAGGGCTGGCTTAGAGCAGGCCCAGGAGCCCCACTTCTCTACTACATCAACCAGGCCCGCCAGGCTCCCCGACTCAAGTATCTTATTGGGGCTGCACCTGTAACCTATGGCTTACCTGTCTTTCTGCGGTAACACCTTGGTAGAAGCCATGTGATTGTTTTACCAATCTTAAATTTAACGCTTAGTGATTTTCCCCAGGATTTTATATAAAATATTTCCTTTTAATTTAATAAAGATATATCATTTAAACCCCATTTTGTGTAGTGTGTCTGAGAACCATCTAAAGACAAGACAGCTTCTTCCCTTCCGCTGTGTGGTAGGTACCATAACTAGACAAATAGCTTGCAGGAGTTCAAGGGTTTTGTTTTTTGTGGTACTGAGCATTAAACCCAGTGCCTTGGGCATGATGGGCAAGCACTCTACCGCTGAGCTACATTCCCTACCCTTTTTAAATTTTTATTTTGGGACAGGGTTTTGCTAAATTGCCTGAGCTTGGCTTGAATTTGTGATCCTCTGGCCTCGGCTTTCTAAGCAGCTGGGATAATGGGTGTGCAATGCAGCAGACTTAAGAGTTCAAGTTGAGAGCTTTGGGGAAAAAAAAAAAAAAAAACAAAGACACAGGACAAAGCTGGGCCTGGCTGGGCCTCAGCTGGAGGAGAGAGCAATGAAAATATTGCAAGTGCATTTTGGAAGGACAGTGATGGGCCCATTGAGAGGCTCAATGTTTCAGTTGCTCTGCCTTCCTCCTACATGATGTTAGGGGTGGTTCCTCTCTTTTCCCTATAGCTGCTACACTTATCAGTACCAGTACTTTAGTAACAGATTCTGTGGGGTTCTACTACTTATGTGGCTTTTGTCTCCCATCTAAACTATTAAATTCCTGGAAAATACATTTTACATTTTATACTCTCATGTGTCCCTCCTAGCAAGCATATAGTAACACATTTTTTAAAACACACATATGTGTCTATGTGTGTGTGTGTGTATATATACACACATATATAGTTTTCTCTTTTTAGTTGTCAATGGAGCTTTATTTTTTAGTTGTAGATGGACATAACACCATTTATTTTATTATTTTTTATTCTAATTTGTTATATATATGACAGCAGAATGCATTATAATTCATATTATACATATAGAGCACAATTTTTGTTAACCTCTGGCTGTATACAAATTAGAGTCACACTATTCATGTCTTCATACATGTACTTAGGGTAATGATGTCCATTTCATTCCACCATCTTTCCTACCCCCATGCCCCCTCCCACTCCCTCCCTCCCTCCCCTTTGCTCTATCTACAGTTTGTCTAATTGTCCTGTGCTTCCCGCCCCCCTCCCGCCACAACCTCATTATGAATCAGCATCCTTATATCAGAGAAAACATTTGGCATTTGTTTTTTTGGGATTGTCTAACTTCATTTCGCATTATATTCTCCAACTCCATCCATTTACCTACAAATACCAAGATTTTATTCTCTTTTAATGCTGAATAGTATTCCATTGTGTATATATACCGCATTTTCTTTATCCAGTTATCAACTGAAGGGCATCTAGGTTGGTTCCACAGTTTAGCTATTGTGAATTGTGCTGCAATAAACGTTGATGTGGCAGCACCTCTTCGTATGCTGTTTTTAAGTCTTTTGGGTATAGACCAAGGAGTGGGATAGCTGGGTCAAATGGTGGTTCCATTCCCAGCTTTCCAAGGAATCTCCATACTCCTTTCCATATTGGCTGCACTAATTTGCAGTCCCACCAGCAATGTATGAGTGTGCCTTTTTCCCCACATCCTTATCAACACTTATTGTTGTTTGTATTCTTTTTTAAAAATATTTTTTAGTTGTATACGTACACAGTAGCTTTATTTATTTGTCTTTATTTTATTTTATTTTTTTATGTGGTGCCAGAGATCGAACCCAGTGCTTCACACAAGCTACCCCAGCCCCTGTTGGTATTCTTAATAGCTGCCATTCTGACTGAGATGAGAGAGTAGTTGTGATTTGCATTTTAATTACTAAAGATGTTGAACATTTTTTCATATGTTTGTTGACTGATTGTATATCCACTTCTGAGAAGTGTCTGTTCAGTTCCTTGACCCATTTATTGATTGGATTATTTGGGGTTTTTTGGTGTTAAGATTTTTTAGTTCTTTAGATACCCTAGAGATGGGTGCTCTGTCTGATGTGCTTGTGGTAAAAATTTGCTTCCCCAGATGTAGGCTCTCTGTTCACCTCACAGATTGTTTCTTTTGCTGAGAAGATTTTAGTTTGAATCCATCCCATTTATTAATTATTGATTTTAATTCTTGCACTATAGGAGTCTTATTAAAGAAGCAGGGGCCTATTCTGATATGATGGAGATTGAGGCCTACTTTTTCTTCTGTTAGATGCAGGATCTCTGATTCTATTCCTAGGTCCTTGATCCACTTTGAGTTCAGTTTTGTGGGAGTTTTTTGGGAGAGATAAGGGTTTAATTTCATTTTGTTGCACGTGGATTTCCAGTTTTCCCAGCATTATTTGTTGAAGAAACTATTCTCTAAAGTATACTTTTGGTGCCTTTGTCTAATATAACTGTAGTTATGTGGGTTTGTCTCTGTGTCCTTTATTGCGTACCATTGGTTATTTATTTTTTATGTGGTGCTGAGGATTGAACCCAGTGCCTCATATATGCCAGGCAAGCATCACTGAGCCACAACTCCAGTCCCATATTTTATTTACTTATATGTGGTGCTAAGAATCCAACCCAGTGCCTCACACATGCTAGGCAAGTGCTCTACCACTGAGTTATAACCCCAGCCCTAGTAACACATTTTATTAATAAATCTGAAAGAACTTCAAAAGTGAAAGGCTTCCTCCCGCCCAGCAGTCACCAGGCTGGGTGAATAGCACCCTCATGTGGGAATAGCACACACTACTTTGCAATATTGTGGTTTTAAGCAGTACTAGAATTGAGAGCCCAGCTCTACACCGAGCTAGATCTACAGCCTTTTTTTGTGTGTGTGTGCTGGGGATTGTACCCAGGGCCTTGTGCTCGCGAGACAAGCACTCTACCAACTAAGCTATACCCCCAGCCCCACTTTTTTAAAATTTTTGAGACAGGATCTTGCTCAATTGCTGAGGCTGGCCTCTCATTTTCATCTTCCTCCTGCCTCATCCTCTGGGGTCACTGGAATTAAAGGCCTACACCACCACGTTCAGCTGTGCCCTGAGTTCTTTTTAAGATTTTAAGTTCCTTGATGACAGAAGTATTGTCCGCTACAACTTTACTGCGCTAGGTTTAGGATATTTTGTAGAAAGAATAGGCCCACTTCCACCCTAATGAGGTTCCCTCCCTCCCTCCCTCACCGGACCGAGAGTCATAGAGATGTCTGGCGCAGAGAGGCCTCCTAGCGCAGCCATAGAGAGGCTCAGAGGAAGGCTAGAGCGCTGTTCGCCCAGCCGGCTTCCTCGTCCGTAGTCCTCCTTTCCAACATGGCGCAGTCAATTAACATCACGGAGCTGAATCTGCCACAGCTAGAAATGCTCAAGAACCAGCTGGACCAGGTGGGGACGGGCCCCAGACACACCTTTCTCCCGCTTCACATCCCCGCTGCCCGCGAACTCCCTGGCCCCCAACTCCTTCCCAGTTTTAGGAGGCTTCCTTTTCCAGGCGAAAGCCCTATCAGGTCCCAGGACCCGCCCCCTCTCTGGCTGCCCCTCTTCCCCCACCCTCCACACTGACCCTCTTTCCCGTCCTGTATAGGAAGTGGAGTTCTTGTCCACGTCCATTGCCCAGCTCAAGGTGGTACAGACTAAATATGTGGAAGCCAAGGACTGTCTGAACGTGCTGAACAAGAGCAACGAGGGTATGGGGTAGGCGGGAGAGGGCAACTGGGCATGTGGCGAGTCCGCTCCTCTAGACCCACTTCCTAATCCAATTTTTCTTAGAGAAAAAAAAAAAAAATCCATTACTCCGTCACGAGCCCTTTGCATGTTGTCTGCGGAGAGTTGAAATTACAGAACATTTTTCTCTTGTGGCCCCTTTTTCTGTTCTTTTACACGAACTGTGGGCGCTGTGCCCTGTTGGAGCTGCCAACCTTCCCCCAGGTGTTTGTGTTTGCTTTCACAGGGAAAGAATTACTTGTTCCACTGACGAGTTCTGTATCCTTTCCATAGGAAATGCTACCATATCTTCTCTCTCTCTCTCTCTCTCTCATGGGGGTTAGGGGTAGTTTAGATTATAGTTACTCCATGATTTTGAAAATACTCTTACTATACACACTTCGAAGCTCTTCTGTCTAACCTTATTTCAATATCCAGGTAATGTCAGTACCAAAGAGTATGAAGAGTTTGAGTGATGGGGCTGGGGTTGTAGTTCAGTGGTAGAGCGCTTGCCTCGCATGCATGAGGCACTGGGTTTGATCCTCAGTACCACATAAAAAATAAAGATATTGTATCCATCTACAACTAAAAAAAGTATAAAAAAAAGAGTTGAAGTGATAGTTCCCTTTCTTGTATGACAATATTAATCTAATACTTATGCTAATAACTTAGAAGATATAGCAATAGAAGAGTGGGAAAATATAGAAACAGGTTGGCTCTGTTTTTTAATCATCAATTTCAGCTTAATTGTCCTGCATTCCTAAAATACTTTAAGAAACCTGGATTGTGGGGGCTAGGGATATAGCTCAGTTGATAGCATGCTTGCCTTGCATGCACAAGGCCCTGGGTTTGATCCCCAGCACCAAAAGAAAGAAAAAGAAATCTGGATTGTGGCCATCTGTTTTATCATGAGCGAGCAAGTTATGGCAATAGAGCACCTACAATCTGTAGTCTGAGAACTGACAGGTTAAAAGAGAAGTACAGGCCCAGCCCAGTGGCACACATCTGTAATTCCAGTTGCTCTGGAAGCTACAGCAGTAGGATCATAAGTTCATAGGTCATCCTGGGCAACTTAGGGAGACCCTGTATCAAATAAATTTAAAGTGTTGGGGTTGTAGCTCAGTAATAGAGCGTTTGCCTCTATTACTGTGAAAGACCCTGGGTTAGATCTCTAGTACTGAAAAATAAGACAAGAAACCATACAGAAATCGCAGTATAGTGGGGAGTGGTTAAATAGTAGAGATTAAATTCATCAGGAGTTAGCTACTTCATGGCTGAGAGTGTTGAGGGGAAATGAAGCTAGCCTTTGACTTGTACTAGAGCTGTAGGAAAACACTGTATTTGGTATTTGTGGAGGGGTTAATGGGAAGAATTACAAGAAGTGCCTGCAGAGCAAAAGATGGGATCAGCACAAGAGTGTCCCAGCATATATAATTTTCTGCATACAGAACCAACCTGTCTCTCCCTCTGTGAAGTTACAAGTATAGTTCTGAGGCTTCCAGCAATCTTCATGCTTGATAGCTTTTTAGAAAAGGAAGGTCTTAGATCTGTCAGACTGCTTAACAAGGAATCATGGCTCATGCGGAGCTAGTCTTTCCCTTAATCCTGGCTTCTCAGATGTATGTCCCTGGGAAGCTACACGATGTAGAACATGTGCTCATCGATGTGGGAACTGGCTACTATGTGGAGAAGGTGAGTAGGAGGAAGCATGTGGATGTCCCTTTAAATAAAGAAGGGGAGTTTAAGGGAAAATCTAGAGTATAGAATAGGGTCTCCTTTTACCCCTTCATTCACCTCTGATCTTGCAGACAGCTGAGGATGCCAAGGATTTCTTCAAAAGGAAGATAGACTTCCTCACCAAGCAGATGGAGAAAATCCAGCCAGCTCTGCAGGAGAAGCATGCCATGAAACAAGGTGAGTGCTGCCTAGAGCACCTCTTGATCTTTTCTTCCTGCATAGTAAAAGTACATAGAGAGCTGGGCATGGTGGCACATGCCTATAATCCCAGCTACTCTGGACGCTGAGACAGGAGGATCACAAGTTTGAGGCCAGCCAGGTCAACTTAGTGAGATCCTGTCTCAAAAAATAAAAAAGGGCTGGGAATATGACTGAGTGGTTAAACACCCCTGGGTTCAATCCCCAGTACAAAAAAAAAAAGAATAGCCTGGGCCCACTCCAGATCAACTACTAAATCAATCTGAAAGTTGGGGGAGGCATAGTTTTCCCAGGGGTCAGTGTATTTTTAAAAGCTACTGGGTGGGGCTGGGGTGGGGCTCAGGTAGAGCGCTGGCCTAGGATCTGTGAGGCACTGGGTTCAATCCTCAGCACCACATAAATATAAAGATATTGTGTCCATCTATAACTAAAAAATAAATATAAAAAAAGTCTCATCTGAAAATATTTTTAAAAGAAAATTAAAAAATAAAAAGCTACTAGGTGACTATGTTAGGGAGGATTGAGGACCACTATTGTAAAGGCAAAAAAAAAAAAAAAAAAAAAAAAAATATATATATATATATATATATATATATATATATATATATATATATATATATATTTCGCAGTGGTGGGGTCTAATCCAGGGCCCTACCCATACTAGGCATGTGCTCTACCACTGAGCTATGCTCCCAGCCCTCAAAAGACTTCCATATTACAATTTTCTGGATGTGTCAGACTGATACAGTACTGTATTTTGTCTCAACGTTTAGCATATTGACTGACACATGGTAGACTCTAAATTCGTGTTAGTGTGTGTCCCCTACAGTAGATTGCTTATTAAAAGTTTTAAACAGGGGCTAGGGTTGTGGCTCAGCGGTAGAGCTCTCACCTAGCATTTTCGAGGCCCTGGGTTCGATCCTCAGCACCACATATAAATAAATAAAGTTATTGTGTCCAACTACAACTAAAACAAATATTTTTTTAAAAAAGTTTTAAACAAACTGATTTGGGAGTCTGAGGCAGGAGGATGGCAAGTTTGAGGCTAGCCTCAGCAATTTAGTAAGGCCCTAAGCAAGGTGATGAGACGTTGTCTCAAAATAAAAAGGGCTGGGGATGTAGCTCAGTGATAAAGTGCCTCTGGGTCAGTTTTCCAGTACAAAACAACTGTAGTTGGTAGTTCACCTGTTTCTTTTCCTTTAGCATCCTGACAAGGATGTGACTCTTCCTTTTTTCCCCCCGTAGCTGTCATGGAAATGATGAGCCAGAAGATTCAGCAGCTCACAGCTCTAGGGGCAGCTCAGGCTACAGCCAAGGCCTGAGAGTATGTTGCAGAAATGGAGCAGAGGGACCCTGCTTCAGGGGATTGGGACTTTGTGGGAGTGACCTCCTGGTGTCCGGGGAGGGGAAGGATCTTGTGTTTAATGCTAATAAATGTGCCAGCTGGGTAGAGTGTTGGTCTGTTCTTGCATTAAGCAAGGGCCTGGTGATGAGATGGGAGAGGGTGACCCCCTTCCTAGAGTCTGATAAACAAAGGTAATGAGAGCTGCAGAGAAACTGCTAAGTTGAGTGCTCCGCCAGAGGGCCGGTTGCCATAGGAACAGTACGCAAGCGGAAGTGGAGCTGCGTGGGCGCTTCCCCTTCCGGGTCGGCCCTTCCGACTCCCGCCGGAGTAGGGGAGCCACATGAGACGCACGTTCTTGCACTGTTTCTTAACGCTGTTGCTGCGGAGATCAACCCTCCAAACCCGGCGCTGTATGCTAAGCCCAGAGTCCGGCCCGCCCCCAAAAAGGTCCCGCGGCAATATGGTACCACCACGAATCGGGACACACAACGGCACCTTCCACTGCGACGAGGCGCTGGCATGCGCGTTACTTCGCCTGCTGCCTGAATACCGGGTACGGTCTGCGAAAACTGACCCTGGGACTGCTTGCGGACCCGACGGGGTCCCTCTGGTGGCTCAAACAGTCCGAGCACTGCCCTAGGCCTGATGGAAAACCTGCATTAATCCTCTACCCGCACGACCGCGTCCTGATAGCCTCTTTGCCTGCTGTGTCCCCTGTAGGATGCAGAAATTGTGCGGACTCGGGACCCCGAGAAACTGGCTTCGTGTGACATCGTGGTGGATGTGGGTGGAGAGTACGATCCTCAGAGACATCGATATGACCATCATCAGAGGTGAGTCCTTAGATACCACTTGGTTTTGGGGTTTTTGTTATTGGTTTTGGCGGTGCTGGGAGTAGAACCCTGGACTTGCTCAGCAAGTGAGCGCTTTACTACTGAGCTACACCCTCAGTCCTAACTTACTTAACTTACCCCTGTGCTCCATTTCAACCTTTCACTGCTCAGGTCCATGTTAGGGAACAGTTCGACTGGAATCGAACTTGCAAGGCTTTTTGGAACTATACAGCCTTCCATCCCTCCTGTTCTCTGCCTGCCTTGTACCCATCTCCCTGGCCTTGGACCTCCCTTGGCTCCTAATAACTCCCTCCAGCTCCTCCTAACTCGACTTGTTTGGCTTATTTAGGCTTCTATTCACCATTGCTGTCATCAGCCCAGCCAATACCCCATCTGGGATTAATGTGTCCTGTGCCCTTGGTGCCCCACCTCTGACTACTGGGCTTACTTGATTTTGGCAGTTAATTACAGTTCAAATATGTGTAGTGTTTATTTCGTTTATACTCTTCCACTGGGAATTCCTCTTGTTCAAGGGTAATCCATTATCTACAGTACCATTCCCATCCTTTTCCCTCACCTCAAACCCCTGTTCACATCTCTGTGGGCTCTTCCAGTGAGCATTTCTTCAGTTTTCAACCTGGAAACATCCTCAACCCCTTTTATCAGTAGAGGAAATATTGTTTCCTTCTATTGGGAGGTTATTTCTCTGTCCTATTCCAATCTGTAACTTTCTCTTTTGGAACTTCACATCACAATTCTGCCACCAACCTTTCTATTTTTCCTTCATTAAAGCCAAAACTCTGCTCAAGCATCTTCCATCTTGAAAACAAACAAAGGAAGAAAAACAAAACACTATCAGTGATACTGTAATATAAAAGTAGTTATTGCTGAGGGATTATAAAGATGTTTGGGGGTTGCTGAGGATGGAACCTAGGACCTTGAGCATGCTAAGGTAGTGTTCTACCTCTAAAATTTTTAAAAGACTTTAAAACCATCTGAATCAAACATGTACAGAATTTTTTTTTCTTTATTCCCTAAACAATACAGTATAACAACTATTTACATAGCATTTACATTGTATTGGTATTATAGGTAACGTAGAGGTGATTTAAGGTACACAGGACAAAATGTTTATTTAAATAAGGTACTGATGATCTGAGGTTTGGTTCAGGGGTAGAAAGCTCACCTAGCATGCGTGAGGCACTGGGTTCGATCCTCAGCACCACATAAAGTAAAATAAAGACATTGTGTTCACCTATAATTAAAAAAAATATATTAAAAATAAATAAATAAGGGCTGGGATTGTGGCTCAGTGGTAGAGCGCCCGCTTAGCATGGGCGGGACCCGGGTTCGGTCCTCAGCACCATATGAAAATAAAGGCATTGTGTTGTGTCCATCTACACCTAAAAAATAAATATATTTTAAATAAATAAATAAGATATTTGAGCATCAGTGGAATTTGTTATCCATAGGGTGTCCTGGAGCCAGTCTTGCACAGATTCTCAAGGACAGTTGTACTTGTTTGGTTGCTTGTATTTGTCTTCTTGCAGCAAATAAAACACAAAACCCGAGATATGGTAAACATTAAGTTTTAGTCATTGTTCAGTGAATGCATGAATGGAGACTCTAAGCCGAGGTCTATGTTAATCTCTGAGGAATAGCCAAGCCCCTCCCGGCTGGGTTTTCTCCTCCCAACTTCTGCAGTGGCCCCCACCCTCCCATGTCTGCACAGGTGAGCACTCACACAGTATTCACTGGGGCTGGCTTCTTCACCTCAGCCCTACCTCCCTGTGCTCCTCAGGTCTTTCACAGATACCATGAGCTCCCTATGCCCTGGGAAGCCATGGAAGACCAAGCTGAGCAGTGCTGGACTCATCTATCTACACTTCGGGCACAAATTGCTGGCCCAGTTGCTGGGCACTAGTGAAGAAGACAGCATGGTGGACACCCTCTATGACAAGGTGGGGATCTGAGGACAGAAATGTCCCCAATATGCATCTCTACCAGGCCTTCTAGGCATGTTACCATGCAGCATTCAGGGCTGGGCCTCAGGGTTCCTGGACTATTTACCACTACCCCATATCCCACCCATCCCCATCCATCTCATTTCACAAAGGGATGATCTCTCTCCATCTGCATCCTGGGGTGTCTGTGAGAAGTGGATGACATACCACGTGGAAAGGGCTTTGGTGTTTTTATTCTATGGTGATTTTGTTTTTCAGTCTGATCTCACTATGATGCCCAGGCCAGCCTTGAATTCCTGGGCTCAAACCACCTTCCTGAGTAACTAGGACTAAAGGTGTATGCCACCATACCTATTATCGCAAAGCAGCATTTCCCAGTCCTAGTACACGTAAAAATAATTACTCAGAACTTGAGTACATAGAGGAAGCTGCGTATATTTGGAAGCATCAAGCTCAGAGGTTCTCCCTGCCCTGAAGTTTGAGGAGTTCATGTCTCGTCGCCACTCTAATTCACTTGTAACACGGGAGTTGGGAAGGGACTAATTTTGAAAATATCTTCAAGTTCCACCAGGTTCCCTACAAGCAGCTTTCTGCTCTTGGGGAAGGAATAGGACTCACAGCCCTGGGTTCATCAGATCAAACATATTTTATTTTAGTGTCAGAGATTGAACCCAGGGGTGCTTAATGACTGAATCATATCCCTAGCCTTTTTTATTTTTATTTGGAGACAGGGTTTCACTAAATTGCTAAGGTTGTCTTTAAACTTGGCAATCCTCCTCTCTCTGCTTCCTGAGTTGCTGGGATTACAGGCATGTGCTATGCCCAGCAGATAGCAGCTTTTTAGACTGCCAGGGTCAATTTTAATTTCCATTCCTGAGAGGTTACTAAGCAGCTTACTAATTTAAATGTTTTTTTGTTTCTTTCTTTTTGTAATGGCATTTGAACCCAGAGGTGTAGCTTTACCACTGAAATACATTCCCAGCCCCTTTTATTTTTTGAGATAGGGTCTTGCTACATTGCTTAAGGCCTAAGTTATGAGGCTGGCCTCAAACTTATGATCCTACTGCCTCCCCCAGTTGCTTGGATTACAGTCATGCACTGTGCTAGGCCAAACCTGTGTTGGGGATCCAAGCATCAAATTAGGGTCCTGTCTAGTCTAGGTCTCATTCTTCCCTACTCAATTTATGTGCTTACAGACCTTCTTGTAACTCATTTACTGCCATTGAATAGACTCTATAGCCCACTTAGAGCTCTACCCTCCACCAGTGATAGGAATCTACTCCCATAGTCCCCTTTAGGAACTGAGATCCTTCTTATTCAAAAGCCAGCAGTGCCCTCCCCACACATGCTGGCCATGGCTTGGGCTTGGTACAGTGAGCAAGCCCTGGGTTAGAGGTCAGGTAATTTGAAACCCCATCCCAGCATTATTAGCTCTCTGATCTTTGGGCAAACCCGGTTCCCCCCCTCTTCATCCAGTGAGTGGTAAGATCCTTAAAGGGGTATTGTGAGGATTAAGTGAAATAGTATGTATGGACATACTTTGAAACCTATGTGACTTTGCACAAATGGTAGGTATCCTCAAGAGCATTTCCCATGCTGCTGCCATAGATGTATGAGAACTTCGTGGAGGAGGTGGACGCAGTGGACAATGGGATCTCCCAGTGGGAGGAGGGGGAGCCTCGATATGCACTGACCACTACTCTGAGTGCCCGGGTTTCTCGACTTAATCCCACCTGGAACCATCCTAACCAAGACACAGAGGTAAAGAGGGCCCCTGGGAAAGAGACCCTGAGATGTAAAAACCTCAGAGGAAGTTGGAACATTTGCTCCTCTTTTTTTCTTTTGCACCAGGGATTGAACTCAGGCACTAAATCACTGAGCCACATCCCAGCCCTGTTTTGTATTTTATTTAGAGATAGGGTCTCACTGAGTTGCTTAGCACCTCACTTTTGCTGAAGCTGGCAATCCTCCTGCCCCAGCCTCCCAAACCTCTGGGATTACAGCATGCACCACCACACCCAGCTACATTTGCTTCTCTTAAACTCTAGCAAAGTAAAGTTTGGGCCAGCACCATGGTTCCAATTCCTACCATTCCCAGGCAGGGTTCAGGCGTGCAATGGATCTGGTTCGAGAAGAGTTTTTGCAGAGACTTGACTTCTACCAACATAGCTGGCTACCAGCTCGGGCCTTGGTGGAAGAAGCCCTGGCCCGGCGATTCCAGGTACAAGTCTAGGAGAAGGCATTGGGGATCAGTGGTGGCTGGCAGGCTGATGGTCATCTGAAACTCCCATTTTTATCTAAATATTCTAGCGTTACTTCTCTTTCAGGTGGACCCAAGTGGGAAGATAGTAGAACTGGCAAAAGGTGGATGCCCCTGGAAGGAACATCTCTATCACCTGGAATCTGGGCTGTCCCCCCCTGTGGCCATCATGTTTGTTATCTTCACTGACCAGGCTGGACAGTGGCGAGTTCAGTGTGTGCCCAAGGAGCCCCACTCATTCCAAAACCGGTGAGGCACCAGGGAATGACCCTGCACACCTTCAGGCCTGTTTTAACCCTATCAGGGAATGCTGCCAACCTTGGCCTCTGATCTTCTCCCCTTTCCCAGTTTCTCAGGTCTGTTTGCTCCCACAAACTCCCTTTTTCTCTTCATTTGTAGGCTTCCTCTACCAGAGCCGTGGCGGGGTCTTCGGGATGAGGCCCTGGACCAGGTCAGTGGGATTCCTGGCTGCATCTTTGTCCATGCCAGTGGTTTCATTGGTGGGCACCACACTCGAGAGGGTGCCTTGAGCATGGCCCGTGCCACTCTGGCCCAGCACTTAACACCTAGGCCTGCCTCAGATCCCCCAGTCCAATAAAACAACTTCTCTTATGGATCCAGTCCTTTATTCATTATTACCCTACATTATCCTGGGAACTTGCTCAAACCTGGCAAAAGCAAAACATCTAATATGTGCAACTCCTTATGCTACAAGTTTTCCTCAACACTAACTTCTTGGTTTTGATTTTCCAGTCATTTTTTAAAAGAATCTAGTTCCTAGGGTTAATAACTGAAGAATTCAAAAGTAGCAGATAAAAAGCAACAAAGCAGGAACTTATTCCCAAATCCTTGCCCCCTGCCCCACTGCAATTCCCCTAGAAAAGACAGTCCGATAACTGAATGGAAAACAAACCTTTAATTAGAGGTGGGGATGAGGAGAGTGGGGCTGAAGAGTTGGTGGCCCTGGGAGAGGGTCCCAAGGGGCAGAGCTTGGGGATGTCTCAGTAAATAGTGGCAGATCATGAATAGAGCCTCCACCAGCTGGGGGCTCTTGGCTCCGGCCAAGCACTGGACTAAAACGTGGAAACTGGGCATTTACAAAGTACAAAGGGATGTGGGCGATCCGGCCTGTGGACCAGCACTGCAGAATAAGGAAAAAAAATATTAAATCCTGGGTCCCAAGGCAGCCTCATGGCAGAGCCACACAGCAGCCAAGGGCCCTCAGCTTCTCTACCCCAGTCCCCAAAAATCCCAGCAGCCTGGCCTACTCACCACACTTAGCAGGGCCCCTTTATTGAAGGAAGGATGGAAAGTGATGAGCTGGGCCTGGGCTCCTGGCTCACCCTGGATAATGCCACTAGGGGAAGCATAGAAATAGGTGAGAGGCAACAGGAGGTTGTGCCTGTAGTGGCTTGTGGGTTTAGTGTGTGAGAGTGGCCAGGAACCCAGACCTAAATGCCTGCCCAGCACTTACCAAGGAAGCAGCTCAAACACAGGGCTGTTTCGAGTGCGAAAAAGGAGGATGACTGGTTTCCCATCCTGTACCCGTGGGTTTCCTAGAAAAAATAGGTCCAGTGCTGGGGGTGTTGTTCAATGGCAGGGCACTTGCCTAGCATGCATGAAGCCCTGGATTTGTTCCCCAGGACCACAAAAAAAGAAATGGATCCACTGACAGAGGGAACTCGAGTAGCAGTGGAGTTCCAGAGCAGGGGCAGAAAACTAGAGGCTTGGACACACTTGATTAATAGGGAAAACTGACCTAAGCAAAGCCCTTCCCTCTGTCTCACCTTTCATAAGCACAGCAAGACGCTCCCCGCTGGGGTCCCAGACCATGGAGTGGGCCTCTCCCCCGAGCCTACAGGCCAGGACAAGAAGTGTTAAGTGTGGCCCTTGCCACCTTCCTTTTTCACACTCCCTCCTTTCCTCCCACACTCAGCTCACCTCTCCTCACCATCTGGTGTCTGTATTGTTGTTTCAGACAGATCTGCCACAATCGTTGCTGACTTTGCACCTCCAACGCGCCCTTTCCCCTCACCTGTAGATAATGGGAAAGGTTCTGAGAAGTACAGAAAACACCCTTCCCATTGATCCCCAGTCAGCTCATTAATATTTCTGAAGTCTCCTAAGCTTCTGTACTTCCCTTTACCCATCACGTTACCATCCTACAGGTTGCTGCCTCCCTCCGATTGTCCCAGACATTCTGCATTCTGAAGTGTTGCCCTAACTCACCACAATGTTCTGGGAATAACAAGGAGTAAATCAGTGGTTCCCCCAATACAGTGAACAGCAGTCGTTTTCCATCTGGGCTCCAGCAGCCAGTCTGGGGTCAGGAGGCAAAAGGCAGGGGAAGGGAAGTCTATAGGGTGATGCAGAAAGGAAAGTAGTATAGGAGGTAGGGAGCCAGGCTTGGGGAATTTAGAATCTACTGGACATACCACCTCCCCAGCTTCTGTGAATCACAGCCTCCTTACCTGACAGCGCCCTGATAGAGTGGGCCATCTCTCACAAGTCCACATCTGGGCCTCCCAGACTCTGAACCAGAGAGATAAATTATAGCTTAGGGCCTCCAGGCTCCTACACCTGGACCCCCTCCCTCTGGCAGTCCCAGGGTCAGGTTCCAGGTACCAAGTGCCTTTCTCTAGGTCCTTACCCTTACCCTTCCCTCATACCGAAAGACAGCTGAAGGAGTGGTGGCCAGGACTTTGCTGCCATCTGGGGACCACAATAAGTTAGTAACTCCGCCTCCTCGAAACCATGGAAGTGGGACACAGATCTCTGTTGAGATGTCCCATACCTAGGTGAGGACGCAGGAGAGTGAGACAAAGGAAACTCAAGCACCCCATCAGCTTACAGTGGGCTACCCTCTTTAATGTACACAAAAGAGAATGTTAAACATGAGGACATGGATTTATGTTTACAATGAAAGCAGACACTTAAATCTGTGAGGGTGCCAATGGTAAAACTGCTTCCATGATAAGTTAAAGATTGGACAAGGATCCCACTCCCTCCCACATGATATTTTCCAACACCAGGAAAAAACTTCTTGCCTCAAGTCAAGAGTAGAAGCTGAGATGGCATGAGGGGTACAAGGTTGGGGATGTGGCTCAGTGGTATAGCATTTTTCTAGCATATGTAAGACCCTGGGTTCCATCCTCAGCATGGCAAAAAAAAAAAGCAGGGGTTAGGGAGAGGATAGGACCAACTCACCAGGATTACAGCATCCACAGGTGAGGCTGAGAGCAGCCGCCCCCCACTGGGGGCCCAGGCCAAGCTGGTGACAGGTGTGTGTCCAGGATGAGACAATACCTGGGCACAGCCAGAAGAAGGTCTGACAAAATAGAAGATATGGGATCAGTAGATAGAAGAAAGCCCTGTGATTGCGTTTCTTTGCTTCTCCTAACACCTCCCAATCTCAATAGTACCTCCCAGCTCAAATCTAGGTTGGGGAAAAGGGGTAACAATCATGGAAATTAAAGGGGAAAAAAAGGCAAAGGAAGGAAATCATTGCCATTAATGGGTGATGTGTAATGTCAAGGCCAGAATGAAAAGAAGTAAGCTTTCACTCCTCACCCCAGGAGACAACTTCTGACCAGTAAAGGCAGACAGAACAACACTGAGTGTCATGCTCCCCCTAAAAGACAGCCCTGTCCCCCAGGCCATCCAGCCCAGTGTTAGGATCATTGATGACATTATCTAAAGGTTCCCAACACTTCTCAGAGTTACCTCACATTCCCCAAAGCTCCAAAACTGCTTTTCTGCCTATCTTTGTTAGGATGTCTCCTATATCTGTGCCACACAATGATTTTTGCTGGGAAATAAGTGATGGCACCTGCTGTCCCTTTTCTTTCTTTCTTTCTTTTTTTTTTTTTTTGTACTAGGAATTAAACTCAAGGGCTCTCTACCAATCACATACCCAGCTCTTTTTATTTTTCATGAGACAGGGTCTCACTAAGTTGCTGAGGCTGGCTTCAAACTCAATTCTCTTGCCTTAGCCTCCCTAGTTGCTCGGATTACAGGTATTCATCACCATGCCTGATTTTCTGCCCGGTCATTCATCTCTATTTTCAGAGCCATGTACTTGGCCTGACAGGGACAGGCTACTACCTAATTAATACCACAATACCACACTTTCCCCTTTCCACCAAACTACAATCACCTTTAATCCCAATGAGGCCATAGGCCACTGATGTACAACTATTTTCAACTTTAAAATTAATGTCACAGCTGGATGTGGTGGTACATACCTATGATCCCAGTAGTTTGGGAGGTGGTTACAGGGGGATCACAAGTTAAAGGCCAGCCTCAGCAATTTAGTCTGGCCCTAAGCCAGTTAGCAAGAACATATCTCAAAATAAAAAATAAAAAGGGCAGGGATTGTGGTTCAGTAGTAAAGCCCCTATAGGTTCAATCCCTAGTACCAAAGAAATAAAATAAAGCATAGCAGCTGGGCACAGAGGCACACATGGCTGTAATCCCAGGGACTCAGGAGGCAGAGGCAGGAGGATCACAAGTTCAAGGCCAGCCTCAGCAACTTAGCAAAACCCTGTCTTGAAATTAATTTAAAAAGGGGAGAGGGGGAGCCTAGGGACTTCGCACAGTGAAAAAAGCACTTAAGTTCAATCCCCAGTATAAAGAAAAAAACATTTCAGAGCTATCTTTTCTAATCAGTTTATAGAGCTCTATTCTCATTCTTTTTAGGGCTCTGCTTTATACATCAAATATAATTTGTTTAGATGTGCTTCTACAAATGGACATTTCATTGTATAAAATATTATATAAAATATTTTCTATATTCAGCCTACTGCACTTGTGCAAGCCTGTAACTCCAGCTACTCTGGAGACTGAGACAGGAGGATTCCAAGACAGGAGGATTCAAGGCCAGCCTCAGCAACTTAGTGAGACTCTGTCTCAGAATAAAAAATAAAAAAGGAAGGAGTAACTCAGTGATAAGAGCATCCTAGATTCCATCCCCAGTATCACAATTTTTTTCTTTATCCACATCTCTTGTATTGTCATTTGTGTAGAACAGAGTTTTAACTATAATTCAGGAATAAAAAGCTTACAACTTTAAAAAAATAATTATAAATATTTTATTTAGAGAACTTAGGTTGCTTAGCACCTCACTTTTGCTGAGGCTGGCTTTGAACTTGCAATTCTCCTGCCTCAACCTCCTGAACCACTGGGATTACAGACATGCGCTACTGCACTCGGCTTCTTTTCTTTCTTGAGACTGAGTCTTGCTAAATTGTTCAGGTTAGGGTTGGGATGTAGCTCAGCGGTAGCACACCTTTACCTAGCAAACATGAGGCCCTGAGTTCAATCCCCATTATTACTGGGGAAAAAAATTGCCAAGATTATACCTGAACTCAAAATCCTCCTGCCTCAGTCTTCTGAATGTGTGATTACTTATACATGCCATGTAATCATTTGAGACAGGGTTAAACTTCTTAATTAACTGATTGATCAACTGGTACTGGGGACTGAAACCAGGGGCAATCTACCACTGAGTCACACCCAACCCTTTTTAAAAAATATTACTTTGAGATAGTAAGTAGCCCAGCCTGGGCAACTCCTCCTGCCTCGGCCTATCAAGTTGCTGGGATTACTGGTGTGTGCCACCAGGTCCAGGTCATTTTTTTTTAATGGCTTTTTTTTTTTTTTTTTAATGGACACAGTATCTTTTTATGTCTTTATTTTTATATGGTGCTGAGGATCAAACCCAGTGCCTCACACATGTGAGGCAAGGGTTCTACCACTGAGCTACAGCCCCAGCCCCATCATTTTTTGCAATGAAAAACCAACTTTATCATACATTAAAGTTCCATATATCCTAAAATCTGTTCCTGAATATTATTCTGTTACATCAATCTATTTTTCTTTTTTATTTTTGGTAGCACTGGGGATTCAATCCAGGGTTCCATGCATGCTAGGCAAGTGTTCTACTACTTAGCTATACTCCCAGGCCCTGTTTTTCTATTTCTTTCTTTAATACCTGGTAAAGCAAGTCATCCTTCACTATTCTAACTTTTGAAAGTAATTGTTTCACATTTATTCCTTAAGAACTCTAATTATCATTTGCCAATTCTGATTGGAAGTATACTAAATTTGCCAGGCACAGGGGAACACATGTAATCCTAATAACTATGGAGGGAAGTTGAGGCAGGAGGGTCTCAAGTTTGAAGCCAGTCTCAAAAAATAAGGACTGTGGATGTAGCTCAATAGTATAACACTTGCCAATAATGTGCAAGGCACTTGACTCATTTCCCATCACTGTAAAAAATAAATAAACAAATAATAAAATTTTAGGGCTGGGGATGTAGCTCAGCAGCAGAGTGCTTGCCTCACACGTGTAAGGCACTGGATTCAATCTTCAACACCACATAAAAATAAAACAAAATAAAGGCATGCTGTCCATCTACAACTACAAAAAAAATTAAAAAAAAAAAAAGACAAAATTTTTTAAAATAAAAAGAACTGGGGATGTAGCTTAGTGGTAAAGCATCCCTGGGTTTAATTCCCAGTATGTGCCACCCCCCCCCCCCAAAAAAAAAAACCCTCTCTTGTATTACCTATTGTCAGGTAGGGGGCTGGGATACAGCTCACTGGTAGAACACTTGCCTAACATGTACAAGGCCCTGGGTTCAATCCCCAGCATTGAAGGGGGAAAAATCCAATCTATTGCAGGTAGATGATAGGGTTACATTAGTTTCAGAAAAATTAGTTAGGGCGGGGCTAGGTTGTGGCTCAGTGGTAGAGCACTTGCCTCGAATATGTAAGACACTGGGTTCGACTCTCAGCACCACATATAAATAAAAAATAAAAGTCCATCAATAACTAAAATGAATAAGATAAATAAAATTTTTAAAAAATATTAGGATGGATCCTGCAACTTTCTTAGAAAGAGGGTATTAACAGAAAAACTGATGGAATCCAAATAATGTCTGGATTTTGGTTAATAACAATGTACATATATCAGTTTCCTGGGTTTTTTTTTATTCCCACATTTTTTTACTGGTGCATTATAGCTGTACACACTAATGGGATTTGTTGTGACAGTCATACATACACACAAGTTTCTTAGTTTTATTTGTCATCAATGAAACTAAGACCAGTGGTACACTGGTGGTACACCTTTGGTACATGTCCATTATCCCAGCAACTCTAGAGGCTGAGGCAGGAGGATCCCAAGTTCCAGGCCAGCCTCAGCAATTTAGCCAGACTCTTAGAAACTTGATGTTGCCTCAAAATAAAAAAGATTTTTAAAGGGACAAGTGTGTAGCTCAATGGTAAAGTATTGCAGTATCTGTCTCACATACACATGCAATCAAGTTTTCCAAAATTTTCTTTGATGTGGAATAGTCCAAATAACAGAGATTATCTATTCTTGGGACAATTTCATATGACTTTCATAAAACCATCTCAGTATAGCATCTTTTTTAGTGGCAGAGTTTATCCTTTTCTTCTACAATCCACTTTCGTAACATTTTACTAGAAATCAAACATTTATACTTTTCCAATTTGTTGGTCTTTTTTTTTAGTTGTAGTTGGACACATACCTTTATTTTATTTATTTTTATGTGGTACTGAGGATCAAACCCAGGGCCTCGCACATGCTAGGCAAGTGCTCTACTGCTGAGCCACAACCCCAGCCCCCAATTTGTTGGTCTTAATAGGTACAAAATATTTTCATAAACAGAATCTAGAGAAAGGGATGGAACTTTCTAGCACACCGCCTTGACCTTAAATGCTTCTTTATCATACCCCAGAGAAGTACTGTGAGGACAAAGAACTTCTTCCAAAACTCTCACCACCCACCACCCGTGGGATGGCCAAATTAAGACAGGTTGCCAAAGCAGGCTGCCAGGACTCACCGGGTAGACAAGGAAGTGGGGTCTAGAGTCCATATGAGAATACAGCTCTGGCAGGCCACAGCCAAGACAGAGGCACTGAGCGGCTTCCAGGCCAGAGCTGCCACATTTCGCTGTAGCCGATGCTTCAGGGAAGGAATTATAGTGCTGGAATGTAAAAGTAGGGAACTGAATCAAAGCAGGGACATTAACACTCAGGAGACCTGAGTGTAGTTAAGGAGGGAGAATCACAGAGAAGAAAGCTAATCCATCCAGGGCCCAGGAGAATCAGGGATATTGTGGGTAAGATAAAAGCTAGATCTAGAAAAAGGACACATCGGGCTAGGGATATAGCTCAGTTGGTAGAGTGGCTTGCCTCACATGCACAAGGCCCTGGGTTCAATCCCTAGCACGAAAAAAAAAAAAAGGCACATCTAGTTATGAAACATCCCTGAACCCAGTTCTGGAAGGAACCCTGTGGACCAGGCTCAAGAACTATACACTCCCCTGGGATCAAGGCTGGAAGGAAGGGAGAATGACAAGTCAGAGCTGGCCTCATACACCTACACACACCTGTTGGCATTATACACACGAATGGTGTCATCCTGCAGGGCCACTGCAAACTTGTTGGTGTGAGGATGCCATGCAAAGACCCTCAAGCAGCAGCTGGACCTGGGCAGAAGTGAGTTCGGTTGACATTTGTTCTTCCCACACCCCAACCCAACATTCCCTTCCATATGAAAAGATGTTTGTTATTTACTTTTTCTTTTACTCCTTTTGTGGGTAGGAAGAATGAAAATGTGGTGAACAGTCAGGAAAGGAATGGAAGAAGTCTCCATCTTGACTTCCCTATCCCCAAAAGAAGTTCCAAGGTTCACAACTCCTCCAACAAGGCCCCAGAGCTTGTGTACTCACCAATTTGTGACTTGGGCAAATTCAGCAATCAGATCTTCACTCCTGAGCTATAAGAACAAAGCAGAGGGCTGGGTTGTAGCTCAGTGGTATAGCACTTGCCTAGTACATACGAGGCACTGGGTTCAATTCTGAGCACCACATATAAATAAATAAATTGAAAGTCCATCCAAAAAAAAAAAAGTATGTGTGTGTGTGTGTTAAAAAAAAAAAAAAAAGAAAGCAGAGAGAGTACACACTGGGACAAAAGGAGTCATCCCTCCCACAGGGTAACTGGACCACTTCTGCCCTCTGAAATCACCCCACCCAACTCTGATCTCAAAGAATAGGAAAGGGGTGATGAGGGAACAATGCCCAGGGAGGGCCAAAAGGAAGTCAAACTTACAGACAGGTGAGGGAACAGGGACCCATGGAGGGAGGAGGCCCATCGACAGAGTGCCAGGGCCCAGCTGGATGCCGTCTTCACCCATTCAAAAACTGTGGGGTTAAGGAAACAACTCTGATATACCATTCACAGGGCACTTACTAAGCAGTACTCTCTCAGGTGAGAACAAGCAAGAACAAGCACTTCCCAGGTCCCTCTGCCCAGTAAGGACTCTGGACACCTCCCTCTTTACACCTATTCTGGGTTATAAGGGTAGTAGAAGGGGAGAAAGATGACAGGAAAAAATGGGGCTAACAGGAAAAAGGCCGGGCAAATGGGTACTGCGGTGAATTCAAGAAGAATATGAGGAGATAGGCTGATAGGAGATACCAACCACAAAACTAGAGGAACAAACACTTACCCTCTTCCTCTGAGTTTGCAATTTCATTCAGCACCCCAAAAAGGCCCACATCACGCCTGATAAGGAAAGAAAACCATGACTCAAGATTATTCTGATCCCAAGTCCCCCTATATGCATTTCATTCTTTCACTAAACATGTATTAAAAGTAAGGGCAGGGGCTGGGGTTGGGGCTCAGTGGTAAAGCACTTGCCTCACACATGAGAGACCCTGGGTTCGATCCTCAGCACCACATAAAAATAAATAAACAAAATAAAGATATTGTGTCAATGTATAACTAAAAAAATATTAAAAAAAAAAAATAAGGGCAGGGATGGAGATATAGCTCAGTTGGTAGAGTGCTTGCCTTGCATGCACAAGACCCTGGGTTCAATCCCCAGCACCACAAAAAAAAAAAAAAGTAAGGGCACTCATGCTTAATGAGTGCCAACTAGGTACCAGGCACTTTATGTTTTGTCCTTTCATTTACCTATCACAAAAGTCTTCTAAATAGTATTTTGCCCATTTACAGATGAGGCAACTAAGGCTCAAAGGTCTTTGGGGCTTTCTGAGCCAGTCAAGAAGTCTGAACTTGTGCTAAGACAGTGAAAGGGAAACCCTGGAAGGGTTTGAAGCAAGAGAATAAAGCATTAGCATTTCAGAAGGATCAGTGTGGAAAGACATTAGAAGGAACCAAAATGGAGAAAAAGGAATCAGTTATGAAGTTACTTCAGGACTTCTCCAAAATAAAGATGAAGTGACCTGAACCAGTAGGAATGCAGAAAAGGAGATAGATCTGACAGATTTAGGGAGTAGAATACACAAAATTTGAGAAATAATTAGACATAGTAAGGGCAATACCAAGCAGCAACTACAACAGTTAATATGTTCATAATGTGCTAGGTTTGGGTTAGGTGCCTTGAGTGATCTCCTTTGGCCATTACCAAAACCCTACACAGGGCTGGGGTTGTAGCTCAGTGATAGAGCGCTCGCCAAGCATGTGCAATGCGCTGGGTTCAATCCTTAGCACCACGTGAAAAAAAATAAATAAAATAAAGGTATTGTGTCCAACTACAACTAAAATATATATATATATATAAAATAAAAATAAAAAACTTACATGGGCTGGGGTTGTAGCTCAGTAGTAGAGTACTTGCCTGGCATGTATGGGATACTGGAGTCGATCCTTGGGGCCACATAAAAATAAATAAATAAAGCAAAGGTATTGTGTTCATCTACAACTAAAATATATTTTTAAAAAGCCTACAAAATAGGCATTGTAAACAGAAATTTTAGACAAGCAATCTGATTATGAAGAGACTAATATGAACAAGGTAGCAGAGACAATAACACAAGCTTGTAATCCCAACCACTTTAGAGACTGAAGCAAGAAGATCACAAGTTCAAGGCCAGCCTCAACAACTTAGGAGAACTTCTCTCAAAATAAAACGGGATGGGGGCTGGGATTGTGGCTCAGTGGTAAAGTACTTGCCTAGCACGTGTGAGACACTGGGTTCAATTCTCAGCATCACATAAAAATAAATAAAAATAAAGGTTCATCACCCATGTATATGGTTGTATATACTAAATTTTAAAAAAATAAAAAGGGCTGGGGATGAAGTTCAGTGGTAGAGAGCCCTGGGTTCAACACCACTATAAGTGATGGGGGAGACATCTGATCAAGTGCAGGAAGCCATCAGTGAATTACATGAGGGTCTTCTATCAGTATGGTGGCCAGGGAGATTTAGGTTTGGCATCGCAAACTCTTTAACTGTCTGTGGCTCTCCCAGGGCAACAGATTGCCCAATGCACGTGACCTTTATCTCTGCTCTATTAGGAAAATCCCTCATAGTAGCTCCAAAGATGGGGAACTGGACAGCCCAACTTTAACCTTTTTTGGTGAAGAACATTCTATGGAAGGGCTTTGATATTTCCCAATATAAATAAAGCAGGCGCAGGCTCCATTTTGCCAGAGTATAGAAGCTCAATCCGTCTGATCAGCTTGCTCGACCTGCCCCAACTTTTGAAACAATTTTCTGCAACCTGTGGTTTTTTCATTGGTTCTATTTTTCTTAGCTTTTATTTCTCAGCCAGTCCATTCCACCAAGGGGAACCCCATTTCCACCGCCTGCGCAGGACACGGGCAGGAATCAAGGTGACATAAATGGGGAATAAAAGAATAAGGAAGGGGCTGGGGATGTAGCTCAGTTGGTAGAGTGTTTGCCTCACATGCACAAGGCCCTGGGTTCAATCCCCAGCACCTTAAAATAAATAAATAATTTAAAAAACTGTCTATTTGCCTCAGAGCCTACCTTAAAACCTTCTGCTCCTGAATAATACAGCCATTCCTTGAAAGAAAAACCCCAGGGAAGAAGCCTGATTGAAGAGGGAAATGGAGATACTGAATTTAAACAGGCTTAACATGCAACATCTGTGGAGTATCTAATCGGGAATATGTGACAAACAAGTGAACACCCAGCTCTGCTGCATCAACTGGAAGTCCAGCCCCAGGAACATCAACATTTAAGGGACATCAGGAAGGGAAGCCAACAAAAAGAATGAGAGGACTGGGGCTGTAGCTCAGTGGCAGAGCGCTTGCCTAGCATGTGCGAGGTACTGGGTTCCATCCTCAGCACCACATAAAAATAAACAAATAAGGGGCTGGGATTGTGGCTCAACGGTAGAGTGCTCCCCTAGCACGGGTGGGACCCGGGTTCGATCCTCAGCACCACATAAAAATAAACAAATAAAATAAAGATATTCTGCCCATCTACAATTACAAAATAAAATAAAAAGAATGAGAAGCAACAACCAGAGGTAGGAGCCAAAAAAGAGCCGGGGAGCAAATGGCTCAATGAATTGATGTTCAACTTCACTTACACATGCAAATTAAACTGTACTGCAATATCAAACATCACAGTTTAGTAACACACAGGTAGGGAACTCATGTGCTGTTCATAGAACCATATATGTATACAATTTTAATAAAGGACTATTCGGGAACAGCTCACAAAATAAATGAATGAATATACCCTGGAACCCAGCAACTTAACTTCTAGGAATTTCTTCCTATAGATGACAATGGTAATAATGATGATGACTGAAGGGATTAATGTGTGCTAGGCCTTGTTCTATAAGTAATTTATATGTGTTAACTCATCTAATCACCACTACAACCTTGTAAGATAAGTTCCAGCCCATAAATGAGGAAAATGAAGGACAAAGTAATTAAGAAACTTGCCCAAGTCACACAGTTAAAAAATAGCACAGTCAGAAACTGAACCCAGGTAATGTGGCTCCACTCCTAAATATGAATGACATATGTATGAGATTAATCCATATAAGCTGACACTAACCTTGCTGAGATTCAGATAAAAGCTCAAAAGCGACAATGGCATGAGTTGGAAGAAAAGAGCAGGTTCACAAACCAGAAAGCAAAACAAGTCAACAGAGATGAAATGGAACCACTGTTGCACAACCTTGTGTTCCACAATAAGAACCAGAAATTTGACATAATTTGATAATCAAGCCAGGCACAGTGACACATGCCTGTAGTCCCAATGACTCCAGAAGCTGAAGCAGAGGATCACAAGTGTGAGGTCAGCCTCAGCAACTTACCAAGACACTGTCTCAAAATTAAAAATAAAAAAAGGGCTGGGGATGTGGCTCATGCGGTAGCATGCTCGCCTGGCATGCGTGCGGCCAGAGTTCAATCCTCAGCACCACATACAAACAAAAATGTTGTGTCTCCCAAGAACTAAATAATATTAAAATTCTCTCTCTCTCAAAAAAAAAAAAAAAAAAAGGGCTGGGGGCACTGGGGCTGTAGCTCAATGGTAGAGATGGTAGAGCACTTGCCTTGCCTAGCATATGTGAGGCACTAGATTCAATCCTCAGCACCACATAAAAATAAATAAATAAAATAAAGTGTTCATCTACAACTAAAAATATTTTTAAAGAGGGGGCTGGGGATGTAGCTCAATGATAAAGTACCCCTGGGTTCAATCCCCAGCACCAAAAAAAAAAAAAAAAGATTTTATATTATAGACCGCTTTCATGGAGAGAGAGCCTGAATAAAACAGCCTTTTGGGGCTGGGATTGTGGCTCAGTGGCAGAGCACTTGCTTCGAACATGTGAGGCACCTGGTTCGATCCTCAGCACCACATAAAAAAAAGTAAATAAATAAACAAAATAAAGATATTGTGTCCATGTATAATTAAAAAAAAAAAAAAAAACAGCCTTTTGAAGAGGAGCTCAAGGCAGAGGAGTGGTGACCTCAGATTCTCCAGGATCTGTAGCCCATGGTCCAGGAAACCTTTGCCATGCCTCACCAAATGTTGATACACCGCTTCCACACTTGTTCCCGGTGATGGATGAAAGCAGTTCTTGTGCTTTGGTCCAGCCTCCCAGGGGTCTTTAGCAGATCCTTGTTCGGTTGTAGAATAGGAAGATCGATCCACTATAGCCCAGAAATGAGGGGTTTGACAGTGAGTCAGACTCTTCCCCAGATCTTTGCAGAACTCCCTGTCATCTCCAACCCATGGTTGAGCTAAGAAAAACAGGCTCCAGAGGCCTGTTTTCCTATTTGCACAAAATAAATACTTGTGAGAGAGAAACAAATCTTGGCTCTCTTATCTGTAAAACTAGAATACTTTTTCACAGGGTTCATTTTAGAAAACACCTGACTCAACCTCCTCTTAGCAAACACTCGATAAACATCAGTTTCCCTTGCTTTTCCTTCCAAAGAACTCCCCTGGAAAAAAGTTCCGGAGTAAGCTTTCCCAGTTCTCCTAGACACTGTCCCCTATTTTTTTAATAGTTCTCCGGCATCCTCACACGTCCCAGATCCATCCTCATTTTCCGCATCCTTCTAACGCCACCCACAGCTCCTTGGCATCTCTTACAAGCCAAATTCAGCTCTAAAATATACTGCCACCCTACAACTCTCCCGTGCACCCTGGCTGTTTCCTGACCCCACCGACGCCACAAGCCCTCGGGTCCCCATTTCTCCCTGCTCCGCCCCCACGCCTCTGGTCCCTCTACGCCTAGACTACCTGGCCCCGGAAGTCGGGAGGCGGGCTCTCGTAATCATTGCCCGTTACCAGCTCGTTATTGTGCTCATACTGGGTGACTTGACCCGTAGGCGGTGGCGGGGGAAACAAGCCCAGGGAGCACATCTTGCTAGTCAGGAGGACGTCAGAAGTCGGCTAGCTCCAGGTAAGTAACTGCACAGACCGCGCCCCTCCGACTCAGTTCCCGGGTTAGATTCGTATGCGGACGGGTAGTCGCACAGGACAAACGACGACGCGAAGTTCAACGGAAATGAAGGGAAGAGTAACAAGAAGGCCCCGTTGGCGGTCTTGGGCCAGACTTCCGGAGTTTCTCGCGCGCCTCCTAGCGGCCGGACGGTAGCAGCGCGCAAATGTTCGTAGGGCCAACCTTTAAGAGCCCAGTGATTTTATTTTTTTTGTTTCCTATGAGACTACTATATTTTTTTCCAACTCTGAATTCCCCAGCAATCTCCCACCCACTCAGCGCTGAGAAAGCCCAAAGTAAGCCATGTATATGGAAGTACCTAATTAAACCCTCCCAAGCCTGTGGATCGCCCAAACACAAATACAGACCATGTCGCAGGCAACTGGCTGGAGAAATCAGGAAAAGCCTCCAGAAAGAAGAAAAGTCAGAGGGAAGACCTCTGGAGGCAGGCACAGTGCTGTGCTCACCAGAACTCCTGGAAAGAGTGGTGGGGACACCTGGAAAACTAAAATTTCCTGAGCACATTACCGGAAGCACTTTTACAATTCTTACAACCTCAAGAGGTGCGCTTTTATACCATCACGAGGAAAGTGAGGTACAGAGAGATTTAACCTAGATTTACCCAAATCAGGTACTAGGATTTAAGAATGAAAGTGAAGCTGGGCACAGTGGTGCACGCCTGTAATCCCAGCGACTCGGGAGGTTGAGGCAGGAGGATTGCAAGTTCAAAACCAGCCTCAGCAATTTAGTGAGGCCCTAAGCAATTTAGTGAGACCCTGTCTCAAAATAAAAATAAATAAATAGACCTGGGGATGTGGCTCAGTGGCTAAGCACCCCTGGGTTCAACACCCAGTACCAAAAACAAACAAACAAAGTGAACCAGTTGGTTGTGGTGGTGCAGGCCTGTAATCACTGTAACTTCGGAGACAGAGGCAGGAGATCAAATTCAAGGGCAACCTCTGCAATTTAGGGAGACCTTGTCTCAAAACAGAAAACAAAAAGGCTGAGGATGTAGCTCATTGGTAGAGCACCCCTAGGTTCAATCCCCAGTACAAAAAAAAAAAAAAAAGATGAAATCAAGGGATAGGGGTATAGATAAGTAGTACAGGGCTTGCCTAGCATGTGCCAGACCCAGGGTTCCAACCCCAGCACTGAAAAAAAGTAAAATGAGATTAACCTTACTCTAATTCCAAGAGCTGGAAATAGAACTGGACTCTAAAGCAGAATGGGAGCTCTTCATCTTGCTGCCCAGAGACTGGAAAAGTCATTGAATTTTTTGAGCCTCAGTTTCCACATTCCTAATTATCTCACAATGGAAATAAAGCTATTTAAAGTTGTAAAGTGCTAGGCAGATGTCAGGTTATTAGACATAACTCTGTCATCAGTGGCTGGGGTGCTATAGCTCAGTTGGTAGAGTACTTGCCTTGCATGCACAAGGACCTGGATTCAATCCCCAGCACAAAAAAAAAAAAAAAAAAAAAAAAAAAACCACTACCAGTAGTGGGAATGGAACCCAGAGCCTAATACTGGCTAAGTGCAAACCCTATCACTTAGCTACACCCCCAACCCCTAATAAATATTAAGAAATTCAGTGATATAGCCATATATGGTGGCATATGCCTATAATGCCAGCTATTCAGGAGGCTGAGGCAGGAGGATTTCAAGTTTGAGGCCAGCTTGGGCAATCTTTTAGTGAGATCCTGTCTCAAAATAGTAAAGTAAAAGGGCCGGGGATGTAGCAAAATCCATAATAATATTTTTCTTTAATATTTATTTTTTAGTAGTAGTTGGACACAACACCTTTGTTTTATTTATTTATTTTTTTATGTGGTGCTGAGGATCGAACCCAGGGCCTTGCATGCGCTAGGCGAGCGCTCTGCCTCTGAGCCACAACCCCAGCCCCCACAATAATATTTCTTAAAAATAAAATTAAAGTGCCACGGATGTAGTTCGCTGGTAAATACTCCTGGGTTTAATCCCCAATATTAGGGGGGAAAAGAAAAGAAATTCAAATTGTTTTGAAGCATAGTCCCCACACTCAAAAGCTGACAGTCTCATTTAAGAATCTAGGAGACATTCTAGTTCTTGAATTCTTGGATTCTGTGTCTTCCCTCCTTTCTACCTGAAAAATTCTCTCCAAGAGAGTTATTTCCAGGTCAAAAAACAAAGCATTCCAAGCCGGGCGTGGTGGTGCACACCTGTGATCCCAGCAGCTCTGAAAGCTGAGACAGGAGGAAGATGAGTTCAAAGCCAGCCTCAGCAATGGCAAGATGCTAAGCAACTCAGTGAGACCTTGTCTCTAAATAAAATATAAAATAGGTCTGGGGATGTGGCTCAGTGGTCCCAGAAAAGACAAAGGGTTCCAGAAGTTTACTGAAAAGGCACCTCACCTGTGACAAGGCAGGTGACTCACCTATACTCTAGTACTTCTCAAATTTTTTGTTTTGTTTTGCTTTGCTTTTTTTGTTTTGTTTTGTTTTGTTTTTGTTTTTCTGGTACTGGATTAAACCCAGCGGCACTGTACCACTGACCTATATCCTCAGCCCATTTAATTTTTTTTTTTTAATTTTTTTAGGCAGGGTCTTGCTAAATTGCACAGACTGGCCTTGAATTTTCAATCCTGCTTCAGTTTCCTGGTAACTAAGATTACAGACATGCACCACTAAGTATAGTACATGGCTGGTACTTCTCAAATGTTAAGGGACATAGGAATCACCTGGGGATCCTTTAAAATAGTGGATTCTAGGGTGGGATTCAGAGGCTGTAGTTCACAGAACCCCAAAGTGATACTGTACAGAACTCATTTTAAGTGACCAGGCTCTAAACCTTTCCAGTAGCCAGGTTAATGAACCCACAGGCACTCAACCAGTGAACAACATCCTCAGCCCCTCTTAAAATTTTATTCTGAGATGCTGTAATCCTAGGGATTGGGAGGCCAAAGTAGGAGGATAACAAATTTGAGGCTATTGGGTTGGGGATATAGCTCAGTTGGTAAAGTGCTTGCCTATCATGCACATGGCCCTGGGTTCAATCCTCAGCACCACACATATATACACACACACACACACACACACACACAAGGGACTATTGTGGGCAATTTAGGAAGAACCCTGTTTTAAAATTAAGAAAAAAAAAATTGGAGAGGATACTGGGAACTACCACAGAGCCCTGTTTTTTATTTTGACAGAGTCTTGCTAAATTGTCCAGGTTGGCCTTGAATTTGGGATCCTCCTGCCTGAGCCTCCAAGTAGTTTGGATAATAGGAATGTACTACCAGACACACCTAGGTTGGTTCACTGTTGCCTGGGAAGTCACATAAATTTTAAAGTGCAACTGGGTAGGTGTAATCCCACAGAGGCCTGTAATCCGGGCAGCTCAGGAAGCAGAGGTAGAAGGATCCCCAGTTCAAAGCCAGCCACAGCAATTTAGCAAGGCCCTAAGCAACTCAGTGAGACCCTGTCTCTAGATAAAACATAAAAATTAGGCTGGGGGCGCTGGGGATGTGGCTCAAGCGGTAGCGTGCTCGCCTGGCATGCATGCGGCCCGGGTTCCATCCTCAGCACCACATACAAACAAAGATGTTGTGTCTGCCGAAAACTAAAAAATAAATATTAAAAAAATTCTCTCTCTCTCTCTCTTTAAAAAAAAAAAAAAATTAGGCTGGGGATGTGGCTGGTGGTCAAGTGTCCCAGGGTTCAACCCATGAAATAAACAAACAAAACGCATCAGCAACAAACTGGGGATATATACCCTTGGAGAACCTGGTTGGAAAATCTCTCCCTGAAACCAAGCAGGTTTGAAGGAAGAGGGAGTCAACGATGCTGACAGATTACTGGAGAGCGCTGAGGACCTGCAGGCAAAGTTTTTGTTTGAATCTGGATCATAACGCCATTCATCCCCAAAAACCCCCAAGAAATTACTCCCGCCTGCAATTTCCACCACCCTTTGATAAAGACTGGATTTTCACCAACAGGTTATGTCATAATTATCAGTTAGGTGTCTACCTTTTTTAAAAAATATTTTTTTAGGTGTCAATAACATTTATTTTATTTATTTATATGTGATGCTGTGAACTGAACCCAGAGCCTCACAAGTGCTAGGCAAGTGCTCTACCACTGAACCACAAACTCAGCCCAGGTGCTTACCTCTTATCCTGTAATGTGAAGTGGGGGAAAGGAGCAATGATATTCTGTCCCCTGACACTGCCCTGGCCTGACCCAAGTACCGTGCCCTCCCCCAAAATGCTTCTTTAACATTTGTTGGACGTTTTTCACAATTTGTGGGTTCTGGGGAGGCCAAAGTTCAGGTCTAATGTCTTCCCTTACTAACTTCACCAGGGGGCGCGACTGCCCGGCGACACAGCGACTGTGATCCGCCGTCCCAGGTCTCTAAGGGCTTAGCGGGCGGTCTCCACGGCCTCTCCCAACGACCTGGGCGAGAAACCGAGGCAGCGCGGAAGCCGCTGCCCGAGACTTCTAAATGGGGGGCCCCACTTTGGGAGGCATCGCCGGAGCCTGGGTCGCCTGGAGCTTGGCTCGCCAAAGCAGGGCGCCCGGAGCCGGGGCCGGTAACCAGGCGCACATGGCCCGCCCGGCCCTGTTTGTCCTGGCAGTGCGCCGCCGCTATTTGAAGCGGTTTTTATCTCCCAGAAACCAGCAAAACCCCAAGCGGAGTCTAGGGAAGATGAAAGGAGCCGAGGGGCCGGGGAGGGGAGGACCGCGAGGCTGCGGCGGGCAGGAGCTGGCACCCGACAGGCGGAGACCGGGAGGCGAGAGGGCCAGACCCTGGGGGGTCCCGAGGAGCCTTCCTTCCCCTGGGTGGGGGTGGGAGCTTGGGTCCGCTCCGGACCTCTCTCTCAGACCAGCTCTGAGGCGCCCCCCCGCCACTCATCTCCAGCCTCCTCTCCCAGACCTCTCTTCCGCCACAGCCCCCAGCCCACTAAAGAAATCCTCGGGAACTCGGATTTCTTCAAAGCGACTTTGAAGCTGCGCGCCCCGCCAGAGGGCAGGAGATTTCGCACCTGGGCGGGGGCAGGAGCGGCGGCAGGGTGGGGAGGGGGCTCGTAACCCGAGCCCGCCCTGCTCCCGGCCTAGGACAGCCGACTCCCTCCCACCGGCTCCTGCGCCGCTCGGGACCGGGCAGGGTGGTCAGTCCGTCGTAGGGCGCGGGCGGGAGACAGGCCCAGGCCTCGAGGAGCGCCCAGTGGGGACGCTCTGGGGGGCGGGGGCCGCACAAAGCCCTATTGTGGCTTGGGGATGGCCGCCACAGAGTGGCTTTTGTTCCTCCGCTAACTCCGTGGCGGGCACGACTGATTGCAGGCTCGGGGCAGGGGGCGGGTTACGTGCCAGGCGGGGTCCGCCCGCCGGGAGCCGCAGCTTGGCGAGGCTGGGACCGCGCGCTAGCCCGCTTTGCGACTGGGGTGCCCAGACCGGGTCACTGCTCTGGCCAAAGTCGGAGGTGTAGTGTGAGAATACTACTAGAATAGGGCCCTGGAAGATAACACCTCTACCTTCCCCACTCTGCGGACAGTACTGGACCGTTAAAAACAACCCCGCTTGGAGTGCGTGGCCGACAGAGTGTGTTACCTCGAGCATAAAATGCAAACGAGCATAACTGAATATCGCACATAGAGTCCCTGGCTTTGCTAAGGAAAAGCTGTGGCCCACCTTTCACCCTTCTCTTCCCTTTTTCTCACCAGGACACGATTTCAAATTGAAATTTTATTAAATTAAAAAAAAAAAAAAGGACTCCACAAGGGGATGATTCTTTGCCTTCCACAATGTTACCCTCTCCCCAAGTTCCAGCAGCTTTACCCTTTAACCTGGGGACTTGTGGGAGCAGGGCACAGAAAAGGAGGATCCAGAGTCTCAGAAAAGGTATTCAAAGGCACTAAGCGGCTTTAAAAGTCACTGGAGGTGGAGTTGGAAGTCCCAGGTTGGGGCTTGCAAATGCACCCCCAAATCAGTTTGGGGACATCTTTCCTCCTAAGCTCTATAAATTCTTTCTCATGGTTTCTAGGCACCAGGCCTAGCACAGTGCCTTGCACAGGATAGGCACTCAATAAATACTTGATTTATTTTAATCTGATCCCAGAGAAAGACTTCCCCCTCCATTGTTCAGGAGGAGCATCTCCAAATCAATGTCCTCCTGTTAGGTGGGCTTCCCCAAAGAGCATGTTTTAGATGGCAGCTGTAAGCTCTCCCTAACCATGACAACAGGGAATTAGCCTGATGAGATCATGGTGTCTGAGAGAAGGGGCAGTGGAAGAACCTGCTCTGGGGTCAAGGGAGCTGGGATACATTCCAGTCCTTCTCCCCTCCATAGGACTTGAGGTTTCACAGCTTCTGACTGGGGCTGGGGATACTAGGGATCTCCTAATCGAGAGATACTCACATCAACTCTTTTAACAGAGATCTAGCTAACCAACCCAATTTGTTAAAAACTCCATTGAAAGAGAAACCCCACTGAGACCCTGATGATAGAAATTCTATTAACAAGACCTCCACTACCATTTGTCTATACAGCAATACATTTGGCTAGAATTTCCTTAGCAGAAATGGATCCCCTTCCCTCCCCAGCTCATTCTACTGGACCCGTCATCATAACTTAGATAAATAGAATTATTATTACTAGTATTCATTACTCGGGGTGCATGGAGTTAAATATATAGGCCTGAGGGCAGCCTCCCTGACCCAGGGGTTACCCCATCTTTGGGATCAGATCCCCACTGGTTTGCCCCCCTCTTGGCACCCTGCTCCCAGCCAGGTCAATAACCCCAAGCCTCCTATAACTGGGATCTATAAGGAAGAAGCCACCAGGGGGCAATAAATTATTATCATCATCAACATCATCATCTTGTTTGTGAAAAGGAAAAAAGCTCTGCAGAATGGAAAGCCGTGGAGTAAGTTGGGAACACAAGCCTGGAAGCTGAGTGATAGCAGTAAATAAGCTTGTGAAGCAGAAAGGAATTAGTAAGAGGGAGAAATAGTGTTGGGAAACTAAATGGAAAGAAAGTGAGTTGGCATGACAAAAGCCAAGGAGAGAAAAACTGTGAACAAGGGGTGAAGGAAAACCTAGGAACCAAGAGCTCAGGAATCGGGCACAAAGTGAGGGCCTGAGATGAGAGTTTGGCCGAAAGCCAGGCTCATGGCAAAAGGAGGAGGTGAGCTGAGCAGGCGTGCAAGGAGATAACCAGGTCCAGAATGGCCAAGGTAGAGCCTCAAAAGACAACATGCATGGAAAAGAGTGAGGGACAATAGTCCACAGAGCCAAGAAAGGCTGGCAAGGCGGCCCTGGCACTGGAGACCCTCCACCCAGCTCAGATCTCCAGCAGGTTGCTCTGCTCCGGGCTGCCTCCAGGGGCTTTCTCTGGGGGTGCTGGTGAGGCCGAAGGTCGGGGTGTCTGATTGGTCTCCTCTTCTCCCACGCCACGGCCCTCCCCTAGCTCCTTGGGGCCACTAGCAGGGGGTCCCGGGCCTGGCTCGCCATGGGTGCGCTGGTGTTTGCTCAGGTGGTCACTTCTGGTAAAGCGCTTAGAGCAGAGCAGGCAGGTGAACTTCTTCTCCCTGGTGTGAGTACGAACGTGGCGCTCCAGCTCATCGGAACGGGTGAACCTCTTGCCACAGAAAAGCCAGTTGCAGACAAAAGGCCTCTCTCCTGTGTGCCAGCGTAAGTGCGCCTTCAGGTGTGAGGCCTTGCCATACACTTTGCCACAGCCAGGGATGTGGCAGCTGTGAATGGGCTTCTTCCGCAGCCCAGCTGCTGCTGCCCCTAGCCGCTCTAGCTCCTGGCAGTTGGGGCAGTCACAGGAGGAGCGCCCTGCCCCACTGCCCCCATATCCACCGCTGGCCCCAGTGCCTGCACCCCGAGGTGGTTTGGCTCCACCACTCCCTTCCAGCTGCCCACTATTGCCAACAGCCTTGGGCTTATAGACATCTTGGGGCAGAACGTGCTGGGGCCCTGGTTGCAGGAGGTGGGGTGCTGGGTAGGGGGCTGGATTAAGGGGGTTAAAGTCAGATGGGTAGGTAGGTAGCTGGGGGTTCAGTGGAGGCTGAGCAGGGCCTGTGGGCAGCGTCCCTTGCAGCCCATCACCCTGGCCCTGCCCACCACCTAGCCAGTTGCCCCCAGGGTGCATGTCCCACCAAGGAGCAGGAGTGTTGCCTGGGCCTGGAGAGATGCCTGCATGGATGCCCGCCTTGTACCAAGAGCCGTATGGGTGTGCCATGTCCAGAGAGGTGTAGACACTGGGCAGGCAGTCAGAAGAGCTGTGTCCCTTGGGCATTAGTAGCCCAGGGTCCTGGGTGCCTGTGGGCCCAGGGAATGAATGAGAAAAAGGTGGGTAGTCATTGGCATAGCCAGAGGTGGGTGCTGGAGGACTGCCTGCAGGTGAGAGGAGCCCGTTGGTGCTTGAAAAGGGGGCTGGGTAGGCATCCCCCATGGTTTTGGGAGCTGAAAGATCAGAGTATGGCTTCTTTGTGCCTGCTTTGCCCAGTGTTGTTGAGTCCCGCAGAGGGCTGGAGCCACCAAATTTGCTGCATGCAGCTGTCAACATGGCCAAGGGACTGGAGCCATAGTGAGCATCCTCCTGTGGAAAGAAGGAAGCACTGCTTAGGGGAAGAGGAGAAGGCAGAAGAAAGGGCAAAACTCTAGGACTGAGACCTAGAGACATGAAGAATGGAGCAGAGGGGTCAGGGAAGAGTTGGAAAGGATAGGGGATTAGAGGGAAGAGTGGTGCGCTAGTGAGGCTTTGCATCCAGGCAGAACTAAATTAGAGTCATGAGGGCTGGGGTTGTGGCTCAGTAGTAGAGCGCTTGCCTAGCATGGGTGAGTCACTGGGTTCGATCCTCAGCACCACATAAAATAAAGGTATTGTGTCCACTTGGGGGGGCTGGGGATGTGGCTCAAGCGGTAGTGTGCTTTCCTGGCATGCGCGGGGAGCTGAGTTCGATCCTCAGCACCAAATAAAAATAAAATAAAGATGTTGTGTCCATCGAAAACTAAAAAATAAATATTAAAAAATTCTCTCTCGGGCTGAGGATGTGGCTCAAGTGGTAGCATGCTCGCCTGGCATGCGCGGGGCGCTGGGTTCGATCCTCAGCACCATATACAAATAAAAAATAAGGATGTTGTGTCCACTGAAAACTGAAAAATAAATATATTTTTAAAATTCTCTCTCAAAAAAAAAAAATGGGGGCTGGGGATGTGGCTCAGTGGTTGAGTGCCCCGGAGATCAGTCCCTGATGCTGCCCCCACCAAAAAAAAAAAAAAGAAAGGAAAATGGAGGCCCAAGACTTCAGCCAAAGAGGCAGGAAGCAGAGACCATGTGGAGTTGTTAGGGATATGTAAAGGCCTTCGAGGAACAGGAGACTCTAAATGACTGAGAAGAGCTGGGATAGAAGCAGCAGTTAATACTGGGCATGGTGGCACATGCCTGTAATCCCAGCCACTTGTGAGGCTGAGGCAGGAGGATAGTAAGTTCAAGGCCAACCTCAGCAACTTATGAGAATCTGTCTCAAAATAAAAAATAAAAAGAGCTGAGAATGTAGTTCATTGGCAAAGTATCCCTGTATTCAATCACCAATACCAAAAAGAAGAGGAAGAGGAGGAGGAAGAGGCAACAGCTTAGTGAGGTGAAAATTATGATCTCAATGCTGGGAAGCAGGTTTATAACAGAAAGAAATTACAGTCAGGGACTCAGAAAAAAAGATGTAACTCAAAGAGCAGCATGGAGCCAAGCACAGTGTCCAACACCTGTAGTGCCAGCTACTTGTAAGGCTGAGACAGGAGTATCCCTTGAGCCCATGAGTTCAAGACCTGCTTGATTTAGGACAACATAACAAGACCTTGTCTCAAAAAAAAAAAATTTTTTTAAAGGTAGAAAAAGAAGTATTAGGAAATCATATCTGCCCCCCATTCTAGATTTTGCTGGCTTCACCCTTTATTCCACTTGCTGCCTCTGCTTCATCTCCTCACTTAGGCAGTGACCTGGTCTCCCTGAGGTCCCAAGTCCGCATGTCCCTAGTAAGGAATCTCTTGGCAGGCACTCTGGGACTGGGAGACAAGAGGAAGCAACAGCAGAGACACTGGGACATTGAGAGGCAATAGGGCTGCCGCCAAGCCAGGACTGTGGCTGAGGCAAGAATGTCTTTCATACAAGCAGTGGGCACCTCCTGCTTCATGGTACCAGCTGGTGGGTGGAAGAGCCCAAAGTCTTCAGACCCCTCCAAGGCAGGGAATTGGAGTAGCTAAGATACTGACTCACAGCCATATCCCTCCATGCCTCAATATTCCCCAACATGTAGCCTATGTCACTAGTTTCTCTTCACCTTTCCAGTGTAGTGAGTGAAGGAAGACATGCATGTTGTACTTGAGAGGATCTTTTGGAAATGCAGAGGTATCTCCTTAATGCCCATCAGGCTACTGCTATCAAGTCATACCACACTTAAGACCACCTCCCTCAGGAGCTCATGGTAACCCTCCCTAGGTCAGACTTAGGACCTCCCAGGAGGAGATGCCCTCCAGTATCCCTGGCTAACATACACATGTTTCTATTACTAAGAATTTGACAAAAAAAAAAAAAAAAGCATTCAAAAGCTGATCCTGTAGAGTTCCCTGCTTGAGTTTCTCAAAAGCCAATTGCCTGGTGTCTTTCTAGTAGAGTTAAGAACCCCAAAGGGACTGCATATATAGCTCAGTGGTAGAATGCTTGCCTAGCACACACAGGGGTCCTGGGTTCAATCCCAAGTACTGTTTAAAAAAAAGAGAGAGAGAGGGCTGGGATTGTGGCTCGTGGTAGAGTGATCACCTAGCATGTGTGAGGCCCTGAGTTCGATCCTCAGCACCACATAAAAATAAATAAAATAACGATATTTAAAAAAAAGAAAGGAAAAAAAAAGAATCCAGGGGTTTTAGAGCTGCCTAGCAGCTCCAAGCATGTGGTAAGTGTGTGTGATACCGAAACTAGAGATAGGTCTGGGATCTCAGGGTTGCAATGAGTGGAGTGGACACTCACTACTGCTGTATTATTCCCCAAGTACAAACCAGCTGTTCCCCCTGTCTAACCAATTGGCTCCTTGGGATCCCAAATTTGAGCCACTAGTAGGTTTGTTTACTAGTCAGAGGCTTCCCTGGAGCCTCTGATACCCCAGAAGGTTAGTTAAGGCAGGATCTGACTCCTGCCCCACTGGCAGGACAGGTGGGAACATGGAGTTAGAAGGACACCTAGACACCAGGGTGCAAAGGACCCCTACAAAGAATAAGGAAGTGCCATAAAAGCCTCAGAGGACAGGGACAAGAGGTGAGAACTGGAATTAAGAGGCAGAAATGGGCAGGACCTGAAAAAGCAGAAAGGTGAAAAGACAAAAAGGAGGGAGAGAGAGGAAAGCAGAATAAACAAAGAAGGAGAGGTGGTGGAAATGAGCCTTGGCTAGAAAAGCTAAGGAAAACAGAGGCAAAGACAGAGGGGGAGAAGAGAGGCTGGGAGTGGGGGGCGAGGCAGCGTACTTCCTACCTAAGAGAAAACCACCGTGGTGCTGGGCCCCAGAAAACCCCCAGACCAAGCCACTCCTCCCTCCTTCTCCCCCTTGACCGCCCCCTCCCCCTCTGCCCAGCCCGGCTCCGATGGTTTCCCTGTGGTCGGTTTATTTTTAAAAACGCCGACGCCGTCCCCCGCCCGGCCCTCACACTGTGGCCACAGGGGCCTCAGCCAAGCCCAGGGACCCCACCCAGTTGTGGGGAGGGAAGGAGGGGTGAAAGGAGGCAGCCGGCCTCAAGCCAATAGGAGACCCCAGCCCTGGGTTGCTGAGGCCCTGGGGCCCCTGCAGTCAGGGAAGGAGAGGCAGGGCACCAGAGCCACCAGACTCTCCTGGGGGACCAAAAGCAGTGCATGCGGCTGAGTTTCACCATAGTCTCAATTTCCTTTTCTGGCTGATTGCTCTCTCCTGAAAACTAGAGGAGAGGGTCCCGCTTTAGGGGTCTGAATATGTGCCCCATACCCCATCAAATGTCTTGCCTTCCAGGACCCAAGATTCCCACCCTACATTTATTTGTCTCCTGCCCACAGCCTTGAACCCAGCATCCCCCCCAAAAAAAAAAAAAAGAAGAAGAAGAAAGAAAGAGCGACACCCGCACCCCACCCCACCCCCCAAAAAACACGTTTAAAGTACTGAAGGGGAGTCCTTGGAGAAAGAACAAGATAGAAGCTGTCCCAACTCTCTCACCCAGACATGGAGTGGGGCAAGAGGACCCCCTTCTTCCAAGGAGCTTACAGTGTAATGCCCAGCCCCACCACCCAATGGAAAAGTCTACTATAGGGCTGGGGCTGTAGCTCAGTGGCAGAGCACTTGCCTTGCATGTGTGAGGCACTGGGTTCCATCCTTAGCACCGCATAAAAATGAAACAAATAAAATAAAGGCATTCTGTCCATCTACTACTACCAAAAAAAAAAATTTTTTTTTTTTTAAAGAAAAGTCTACTATACATCTGACAGCTGGCTGGCCTTAGGTTCTGACCACCCAATGTCCCCATTCCTAGTTTTTAACTTTCTAGTCTTCTTCCAAGTTTCTTAGTTCTCCTGGCTTCCCAATTCTTTTCCTCTTTCTTTCTATCTTTTCCTTTTCCTTTTCTTTCTTTCTTTTCTTTTTTCTTTTTGGAAGAAGGTGACAGTGTATGTAGGGTGCTGATGATCAAACTCAGGGCCTCACATGTTAGGCAAGTGCTCTACCTCCGAGCTCTATCTCTAGTCCATTGCCCAATTTTCCATTCCTACCTCCCCCCTCCCACATATCTCTCTCTCCCAGATTCCCCTGCTTTTTACTGTATCCAGGTGAGCCTCCCATCACACAGCAGCTGCTTCCCTCTCTGCACCCCAGGTTCTTCCCACTGCCAGGCAGAAAGATTCCCAAAGAGATAGGGAAGAATTTGAAGGCCCAGGTAACCAAAGACCAGGTGAAAGAGATGGAGGGACTGGAGAGCCTTTGTGCTGAGGGCATCTTCAACTCACAGGGAGTGATGGGACTTGAAAACCTAACTTCCACAACAGACTCCTCCTATTTCCACATGCACCCCCAATCCTGTCTATCCAGCAAGCCTCTGGGCTGCCCTTCCCCCAGGCACCACTGCCACGCTGGCAACACTGGCATGATGCCTATGCCCACTGACACTACCCCTGCCCTGACTGGACCCAGGATTTTCATGTACATTCTTCCAGCTTCAAGGCTAATGTTGCATTGATGGCTCAATAAAAAGTCTACTGGGGAGATGGTAAGAGGACAGCTGTCCCCATTGCCTGAGGGTAAAGAATAGCACTTGGGGACCCCTCATTGGATACAGAATAGTAAGAAGCATGGTGTCTGCCTCATTGGCATGCATGCCATTCCCTCAAACTCAGCCACAAACTCACTATCTCACAGTCTTACACAGATACCATTCCTCACTTGAACTATCACCACCCAGATGCCCAGTCTCTCTCTCTCTCTCTCTCTCTCTCTCTCTCTCTCTCTCTCTCTCTCACACACACACACACCACACCTGTAGTATCACAATTCAGCTGTGTAAAGTCACACTTGACTGTACTCTAACACTTCCATGCAGCCAATAGACACAAGTGTCAAAGAACTGCTGTTCCATCTCACACACACCTCTTCTTCAGGTTGAATGAGTTGACTTCCTGTTTGGCCCATCACCCTGGGATTTGTTAGGGCACCAGAAACAAAGATTGGAGTTTCTGAATGCCAGAAGAATAGGGGAGATTTAAGGCTACTGAAAAGAATTGACTCTCAAGGAGGGCTCTTTAACCCCAAATTCCTTCAGAGGGACCCAGAAAGCAGGACAGAGATGGTGACAGAGAAACAGAGTCAGAGAGCCAGAAGCTGGGAGAACTCAGGTCCTGAGCAGTTGTGAGTCCTCCAATTCTGTGCTTTAGGTTCCCCAGAAGCCCTGGGAGAGTCAGTGATTTCTCAAGACCCAAACCTCCATGGTACCCTAGTTCCATCCATCCCCAGTGCCAGAGGCAAGGGATACTGGGGTCCCAGCCTAGAGGGGAAGTGGCCCAGTCCGCCCTGGAGCCTCCCACTCCCAAAATAGAGCTGAGTTTGTCTTTGGCTGAAAGCTAAATATTTGTGAGCTGGGCAGGCGGCCTCAGACCCTGTCCCTCCTCCTTGGTTCCCTCTCAGGCCTGGGCTCAGTTCCCCTGGTCAGTCCCCCCCACACACACACCCGCCCTTGCAGGGCTGCCCTCCTCCTCTCCTTTCAGCCTACCTCCTCTCCACACACCGGCTCACAGGCCCAGCCCCTCCCCCACACAGACCAAACAAGATCCTACTTAGGCCAGGAATCCTAGGGCACCAGAGTCCCCAAAGAACTATAGCCAATTGCTACTCCATGCCCACTCAGCCAGTCCTCTCTGCCTTCCCTTTCTCCCATCTGCTGGTATCCGTTTGTATCTGTTTCCACCCCTCTCTTCTTCCTCCTTTTCTCATTGCTTTTCCACTCCTCAGTTAGTGGCTTAGTTGACCTTAGGGGTCCATGCCTTCCCACCCAATGTTCTCTCACCCTCCTCTGACTGTCCTTTGACTCCTGACCCTATACTTCCCTGCCTTTTCTCCTGCCCCCTGCTGGCCCCTCCATGGAGCCCACTCCTCTCTTCTCAACAGAAGGACCCTGGAAGTGACAAGCACCACAGCTACTGTCTATGTGAGTTGAGGGGGTGGGGTGGGCAGGGATTAGGACTTTAGGGTTGTGGCTGGTTTCCTAGGGGGAGGAGGGGGCAGTTACCTCAAGCAGGGAGGACGCCATCCTGAGGCTGGGGAACGGGTCCCAAGGAGCAAGGCAGATGGAGAGAGCCGAGCCGGAGAGAGGGAGAGGGGAGAGGGAGGGAGAATGGGAGAATGGGAGAGAAGAGATCTAAAGTTAGAAGGGACTGGGGGGTGGGGGGTGGGGGGGCTGCTCTCTGTCTGTAGGGATCCACCCTCTAATTACAGCTTTCCCAGCGGAGAAGGCTCCGGATCCAATGAGGAGGGCGAGAGAGGGAGGCAGAGGGTCCAAATTTCCTGCTCCATTTGCTGAGCTCCCCAAAGAAGGGATCTGGGAGGGAGAAGAGAAAAGGGGCATCCAGGGAAGGGGTGGGAAGGAGGAAGGGGTAACAGGAGCATGGACAAGTTGTCAGGGCTTCTTTGGGGGTGCCCTAGGGAAAGGTTAAAGGGATGGTGGACCCAGGTGTCCTATACACCCCCAACAACCCCATAGGCTTCTGTGGGCAGCCCTCCCAGAGCTCTTAGCATCTTGTACCTGGGGGAACCTGAGGCTGGCTGTCCCAAGTCTCTCCTCGCTGGAGGTCTGGCAGGGAGAGTGCAGGCAACGGGTGGCCTGAGGGTGCTGGGAGGGATCCGCTCCTCTCCCAGGCCAGCTCCACTCCTTTTCCCACTGGGCTCTGATCTTACAATCCTACTCTGACTCCAGAGTCCTTGCTGCTGCTCGGTGGCGACGCGGCTTCTGCTGCTGCTGCTGCTACTGCTGCTGCCGAGGCTGCTGCCGCCCGCCGCTGCTGAGGGAAGGAACAGGAGGGAAAAGGAACAAACCCCAAACCACTAATTAGAGATCCAAGGGGGGGGGATGGGGGACTGGGGACGACACTCTCAGAGAGACTGGAACACACTGACATACACACTCATGGACAAACACGGGGATGATGCATGCACACCACATGTATACACGCGGCACTACCCACACAGGTACTGCCACTGTCATGAATGAACACAGAAAAACTCACATACAAATGAACATGGAGACACGCTGGGGGCACATACCCCCCACACACTTGAGCTCACCACAAAGATGCTTACCTCCCCATTCACCCACATCGAACTCAGAAGAGCTGTGTGTGTGTGTGTGTGTGTGTGTGTGTGTGTTGTGTGGGCCAGGAGGGAAGGTGTGCCCAGGGGTGGAGGCTTCTGCTGCCCAAACTTTTAGGGTCACTGAAGTAGGTTTAAGAGCCAGACCTGGAAGAAGGGGTGTAGAGTAGGAAAGGGCTGGGCACAGGCTTAAGGATCCCTTAGTCTTCCTCTTTCCAGTGCCTCAGTTTCACTGCTAGGAAGTGATATTTAGGCTCACCTTGCTTTTTAATGGCAGAACCTTGGAATCTGGCTCTAAAAAAACTTAAGGCAGGCAGGAATGAGGATTAGGGCAGAGCTCTTTGGGTCAACTCATACATGCCTATGCTTAGCCCCTTTGGGTTACCCGCCTACAAAAAAAAAAAAAAAAAAGTGCCCTAGCCTCTCTTATTCCTTAACAGTTACCCAGTTGCCATTCTTGAGTGGGGTAGTTCTTTTCATAAGTGATCATACTTCACAGGTTCCACTGCTCACATTGCCTTGCACCATTCCCTCAGCAACAAAAAGAACTGAAGTGAAAGCTTAATCAGGACTTCCTAACTCTGACTTCCCATCAAAATGGGATAGAAGAAAGCTGGCCATAGTGGTGCACACCTATAATTCCAGTGGCTTTGGAAACTGAGGCAGAGGATCGCAAGTTCAAGGCCTGCCACAGCAATTTGTTGAGGCCCTGTCTCAAAATAAAAAATGAAAAGGACTGGGCATATAGCTCAATGGCAGGGCACTGCTGGGTTTAATCCCCAGTACCAAAACACATACACACACACACACACACAAACACACACACATACACGCATACACACATGAAAAGTAGAGAAGGAAGGTGAACCATATTGGGAAAGGGGAACCCAAAAGGTCTGTTAACTGACAGATGGGTCCTGGGGTAAGTTTATGGGAGAAAGAAGACTGGGCCACCAAGTGGTAGAACCAGCATCTGTCCCACTGTAGTGTGTGTGTGTGTGGGGGGGGGGCTAGCAAGGGTTGTTAGGCAGGTTTTTTCTCCAACACAACCCTGGGTCCCCTCCCAGCCCTGCCTGTCTTTCCCCACTTTCTTTCCTTTCCTCACTTTCTCTTCCTAACCGTGCTTCTTTTGTACTCCCAGCTCTCCAAGGAAAAAGCTGGGAGGTGAAAGGAGCAGATAGAGGTCCAGGGAGGGTACACAGCAGCTGAAGCAGCAAGCAGGAACCAAGTTCAGGGTAGGACCAGGAGTTCTGGATTCCAACCATAGGACGTATTTCCCCACAAGGAATCCTGTGAGCCCAACTTTGCAGGAAGGGGTTAGGAACCAGGTGGCCTTCAGACAAAGGTAATGAAGCAAAAGGAGAAACACAGAAGGACCAAGAGACATAAGAGCAAGTGATACAGTCCAAGAGAATCAGAAGAGACATCAAAAGGCGTAAGAAAGAGGGAAAAGGAAAATAGAAGACCAGATATGTGGCTTTGGAAAAGCCAGAGAGAGCAGGAAAAAAAAAAAAAAAACAACTAAAAGAGGAACAAAGATGGAGAGACAATGGCTTAGAAGAACAGGGGAATAGCCAGAGGCTTGGCCAGGTCTGGAGGAGGTGGAGGGTTAAGTAGCCAGCAGGTGGGGGGGCGGGGAGGGAGTATAAATAGCACATAATTGTGTCCGATGATTACATGGGCCACCCCACCCGTCTGCCCTAGAGGAAGTGCCCGTGGTGGGGTGTCCCTGTGACCTTGCTGTCTCCCCCTGGTTGCCTGGTTGGGGGGGTAGTTTAGCCTGAGCCTCGGTGCTAGTTGGATTTCTGGGGTCCCTAGATCAGAAGTTGGGAGAAGAAAGGCAGGCATTAGAGAAATTGCTGTATTGCCAATAGAAGAGAGTCAAACCAGTTAGATCAGGCAGGAAACTGAGGCAGGGGAGAAATCTGAGACAGCAGGTGTGAGAGGGGATGGTGCTCAAACTAGATTGGAGAAGAAAAAAAAAAAGACTGAAAGGGAAAAAGAAAAAGGGTAGGGCTGGGGTTGTGGCTCAGTGGTACAGTGCTTGTCTAGCATGTGTGCGGCCCTGGGTTCGAGTCTCAGTACCACATAAACAAATAAATAAAGGAGTTGTGTCCATCTACAACTAAAAGTAGTTTTGTTTTTTTTTAAGGGTAAAAAGATTAAATGAAGGACAGGACTGGGGGAGGAGATTAGGAGAAGGATCAACCTTCTTTACTTCCCTTGTGGACTTTAGTAACCCTTAATCCTTCCTGGGAAGTGGCAGAAGTGTTCAAACCCAAAGAATGCTAGAAAAGAAAAAGAAGGAGCAGGGTCCTGGGAAATGTGAAGCAGAGCCCTTGATGTATCAACCCCAATAGGATAGCCCCTGGACTCAGACCATGACCCCCATCAAAGTTCTGCACCAAACTGGCAGAGTGGCTGCCCAAAGCCCTCTGTAGCCCTCAGTCCTGCCTGCCTTAGGTCCTGGCTTCTGACTTCTTCCACACCCATTTTAAACATAGTACTGCAGCCGAGCTGAGGTCCTGGTATTCCTGGGTCTTGTTCCCCACCCTACTTCCCCAGTGCGTAGAGGGTAGGGGCAGCAACTGGAATCCCTTACCAAGGACCCACTTCCACCCTCTCAGGCCTCCCTCAGCCCAGCCTCCCAGGGGGTGGGGCAGCCCAGGCAGAGGCGCCATGTGGCAGGGGCGGGTAGAGGCTGCGGCTCTGGTCCTTCCAGTATAAACCCCCTAGGCATCTGGTTTCTATCCACCACCCCCCACCACCCTAGGGGCCCCTCAGCCTCCGCCCATGGCCACCCAGACACTGAGCTCCCAGCGATGGACGCCCCTGAAGGAAGGGGTGGGATAGTACCTTTCTGATCTCCCAATGCCAGGACTGGGTTGAACCGCAGAGACCACTCCCTTCTCTCCCTCCCCTGGGAGAATCAGGGTGGGCTTTCTAGGCTATAGGAGTTGAATCTGGAACCTACCTCATTCTGTCTAATGATTTTGGATCTTTTTGGAAAGGTCAGTGGGAGTAGAGAGAGAGCAAAACCTTGGGAGAGTGAGAGACCTCTAACTGCTACCCTGGAGGGAAGCTCCCTCCTTCCTCACCCACTGATGTCTGAATGTGTCACTCATCAGGTATGTATTACAGTATGTGTCAATCTCTACTTCAGGGGTTCTGCTTGCTGTTCACTGGTGAGTCTGTCTAGGGTAGACAAACTTATAAAGCATCAAGGGAAAGGATGGATCCCCTTGGATTAGGGCCCTCAGAAGGAGCCTAATCAAAAGAGTGGACAGAGGACAGTGGGTGAGGAAGGAGGGATCTTTCCTCCACAATAGTGACATGACATGCGTTCAGATGCATACATTTGCACACATGCTAGGTAACATGCTAGGTAACTCATTCACATATATGAACTATGCAGACACCCACGTGATATGTACATACCACTCTGATACATACATATGCTATACACATAATATCTACCTCAAGCCTTTTAATCCTTAATTATAAAAAGGCACACACCATTGTATGTACAAGCACATACAAACTCATGGTTACATAATATACTTCATGAATCCACACATACATTTATTACATACAGCTTTATTTTATTTATTTATATGTGGTGCTGAGGATTGAACCCAGGGCCTCACACATGCTAGCCAAGTGTTCTACTGCTGAGCCACAACCCCAAACCCCCCCCCCCCCCCACATACTCTTATCAATACATACAGCTCTACTCACAGAAAAATGTCACTTGCATACACACTGGCCTATCACCATAACTTTACTGCTTGAGAAATTCCTGAGGACTATTTTTTGGGATATTTTGTTTTGTTTCATTTGTGATTCTGGGGGATCAGATGTGCTTCATCTCAAGCCCTTTTTATTTTGAGATAGGGTCTTGCTAAATTGCTGAGGTTGGACTCCAACTTGTGATCCTCCTGCCTCAGCCTCCTGAGTAGTTGGGATTACAGGCATGTGTCATCATACCCAGTTCCTGTGAACTCCTAATTTAGGAACCCCTCTCCCTACAAGAACCTGGGGATGAGGGTGATGTGAAAACAACTGCCAGTCCTACAAATTGCTGCCTCCACCTCCTACTATTTTAGGTACCTCCTGTGTTCCTTTGGGTATCTTTGATCCTTTACTCCTCCACATCTACCAGAGTTCAGAGACTCAGATGGCCCCAGCGAACTCCTTGGCCCTGGGGAATCCCAGCATGCCCACCCCCACCCAGGCCAGTTCTGCGGCCCTGCTGACTCATCTCTCCCTCTGTGGAGCTCCCCAACCACAGGGGCCTGGAAGAGAAGCTTGGAAAGTTGCACTCATGTCCCGGGCCCTGGGTCTGGCCACTACCCCCCCATGCACCCAGGCCCAGCCCTCATCTCCAGAGATGACTCCAATAATAGAGAACATAGAGGAGATGAGAAAGAAGTCTGAGTGCAGAGAAACAGAAAGACAAGGGGAGAGACAAGGGAAAACAGAGATGGTGGAGATATAGACAAGGGACCTGAGAGTAGTTGCTGATCTGGTAAGGTTCTCCAAGAGCAATGGTCCTAGTGACCAGAG